AGAGAATAGACGATTCAAACTTGTAGATTTGAATTATTTCTGAGATCTCATTAGCGTCCATGTTGGTGCTCAAACCTCTTGAACTGCATCAAAGTACTTTAACATCAAAATGTTGGTCCTTTTAAAATGATATCTCACATAAGTCTTTCGTGTAGCACGTGCAACTTTTGACAGAGTAGTCTGAGAGGTGGAAAGATAGTTGGTGGTGTAAAAAGTGTTATATTACATCCAAGTAGATCCTTGTTTCTAGACGTGTTCCGCCCCTTAGCATTCGGACAACATCAGATGAAGTAAATCTGAGTTTTAATAGAAGTAAACATGGATAGATGTTTACTAAAAGAGAGAAACAAAGGACTCACGGACGAAGAAGGTCAAACTCTTAGATTGTGAGCTTCCATGTTGTTGCAGTCATTGACTTGTTGATGCTCAAGGTCTCAAATCTCTATAAAATGCTTAAACACATCAAAAACAACAACATTTGAACACATGAAACCTTTGGAAGACTCGCTGGATGGATCCGAGTGTTGGAAAGATATTACATGGTGCAACAAAGTAGGAAAATGCTGTTAAACTACCAACAAAGTAGATGATTCCCTTTTTTACGACATTAGGTCCTTTAATAGCACTTGTTGCAAATATAACACATTTTGAATCAGTGGCGAGGGATTGCAAGCGGATACAGCGTTATTTAACCCTCCTGTTGTCTTCGTCCCCCCCCCCCTTACTTTGGTGTTCGCGGTCAAATTTGACCGGTCCTGTTTTAACTGCTATTACATTAACACACAAACCATTAATCATCACCACATTTCATTTAACACCCTTTCAAACTATAAATATTGTATCAGAATACTGGTATACATGAAACACTGCAGTAAATATACAAAGAATAGACACTGAACATGTATGGGCACATAAGGGGGGGGAACACATCTAGTGTGTGTGTGTGTGTGTGTGTGTGTGTGTGTGTGTGTGTGTGTGTGTGTGTGTGTGTGTGTGTGTGTGTGTGTGTGTGTGTGTGTGTGTGTGTTTTATCTGATCCGGATGGTTACAAATTCCTTTTCTTTATGGCGGTCATCAAAGTTCACTAAATCATCCAAAATTCAATGAAAGAGGTGATCAGCCATTTGATATGTTCAAATGTCTACAGTGAAGGATATAGAATAGAATTGGGATGAAACCTCTTTAATGGTCACACAGCATCTCTGCTTTTAACCCATCCTAGTACCAGGAGTCTAGCACTAGGAGCAGTGGGCAGCTAGTGGGCAGCTAGTGGGCAGCTAGTGGGCAGCTAGTGGGCAGCTAGTGGGCAGCTAGTGGGCAGCTAGTGGGCAGCTAGTGGGCAGCTAGTGGGCAGCTAGTGGGCAGCTAGTGGGCAGCACCCGGGGAGCAATGGGAGTGAGGGGGGAAGGGGGGAGTCCGGTGCCTTGCTCATATAGTAGTCACAGCAGTGTCAGTGGGTGTTTCTCAATGTCGAGGACGCTTGCTTGGTAGCACACGTCTTCCGAGTCACTTGCTTCAGAAGCGAGGCAAGAATCCTTCCTAGCCTCGGAAAACGAAGAACGGTGGAACAGGTGTGCGTCATATGCGAGACCCCGCCTTAAATAGAGCGCGATTTCCGCCAAAGTCCGGTGCCTTGCTCAAGGGCACCACGGCAGGGCAGGAGGTGAACTGGGACTTCGCCGAGTAGCAGTCCACTCTCCATATTTAGGTATGATCGGGGACTTGAACCGGCGACCCTACGGCTCCCAGTCCAAGCCCCGACTGACTGAGCACGGATATCATGAAGCCTGAATGCAATCGAATGTAAAACAAAAAAGTTATGATCGATGAAAGCAGTAAATCGGTTAGATTTGACCCGAAGACAACAGGAGGGTTAAAGAAACCCCTCGGTCTAAAAGGAGCTTTATGCGTTTAATCTGAGAGAAAATCACTTGACAAACAAGTAAAATACAAACTCAAAGCCGTCAGTTTGCGAATCAAAACATTTATTTGTCTCCAGTATCAAAATTCAACACATTCCATCTCTTTCAGGGATTATTCACTTTCAATCTTTGGACGATCACATACTTTTACATGATTGCTTTGGTCGTTTTTCCAACACAAAACATGGTAACTTCATGTCGTACACAATCACAATCGTGAACACACAAGACAGGATGGATCGTCAACAGGTTTTGAGTCAAGGTTGGATTTTTTTCAGTCATTATTTGGTGCAGGAAGTGGAAACCAACTGAAGTGTCTTTTGTCACCCAAACAATGGTGTTGGGATGACCATAAATCGGCTTTAGAGTTATCTGCTCTGTGAACCCGGCTGTCGTCACAAAGATGGAAACCTCCATCCACTGGTCTAACACACATTGGTAATCCAGGTAGGCCAACCCCTGCTTGATACAGAAGTTCATTCAACAACGGCAGCATCGAGGGAAAAAGACGAGTCAAATTGAATCTATGGTGTGAAGAACAGAGATGGGAGGAAGAGCTGAAATGGAAAAGGGTCTGTTCGTAGGGAATCTTCACGTCACAGTCGGACACTGCGTGGCTGAAAAATAAGTGTTTAGTGAGTGAATTAAAGGCAGGAAAAGTGACATAGCGGTGGTCAATGGCTCCTCTCACCCAGTGCGCTGTTGAGAAATAATTGTGTTAATACGAGATTGTTGGTGATGTTGTGAGCCCTAAAAGCTCAGTCAGTCTCAACCACACGTGTCGGACCATACCAAAGGTTTAGCATGCTTTCAAAGTACCTCACATGTAATCAATAGTCATACATACTCAGACATTTTAGACTCATGCGGCTTTCACACCAGCGCTTTTCCCTTTCTAGCTCCGAGCGGGAGCTTTTCTGGTTCAGCTCCGGTTCCCCTTCTCTGCTCCCGCTCTGTTCACACCGCCCAGAGCTGCCGCTGCTGCGTCATGACGTCACCGTGTACGTGCCTGCTTCATAAAATCCAAACCGCGCGGAAATCCCTCACATCGACAACAACAACAATGGCCGATTGTATTGAAGCGCTGTTCGCTTTGGTTATCCTCTTACGAAACGAAATGGAAGGCATCGGACGACTTTACTTGGAACTTCACAAACATCACATACGAAATGCAAGACTTCTTTGTGGTCTTCAGCATCAACGACGAATCTGCCCCCGCCCCCGCCTCGACGTAAGAGAGACGTAAGCGCCGCCGCCTCTTAGCTCCGAAGCTCTTGCTTCAAGACCGACAATTTTTTGGAGCTGGAAGTGAACCGGATTCCGGAGCTAAGAGGCGGCGCCTCTGCGGTGTGAACAGGAAAAAACGGTACTTTTCAGGCTCCGAGCCGGAGCTGAAAACGCGTTGTGTGAAAGGGGCATAAGAGTCAAAAGCTATGGGTCATTTGAAAACACTTGGAGCTGCTATCGGATCCAAATCAAGACGTCTTATAGACATATAACCCTAACTCTAACCATGGTGACACGAATACTGGATGACAGGCTATATATTCTTGGATGTGTCGAATAACATTTGATTATAAAACGCAACATGCAGCAAATCATTTAGTTTCCAAAGCCTTACTCTTTTAAAACAGTATCAAGTGCTTTCAAATGACCTGCTGGGTTTTCTCAAAGATTACATCAGAGGGACAAACTACGCAACTTAAAAGTCAGATGTTGGCGCTTTGCATACACACTTCAACAAGGAATCAATCAAGAATTGTATTTAAAGAAATGTCAAGTCAATAAATAGTTGAATGCAGTATTAGCATGACATAAAACCAACATCTGCCTCTAAGTTGGGAAACGTTGAACCCATTTCTAACCAAATGTGTAAAAATGTTCAAGCATGCAAACCCCTTTGGTATGGTCCTTTGATTTAGTGTTTGGGTATCAAAGCCGACCACACAGCTCTTTGGATGTGACCTGAAGGAGAAAGGAAAAAGACAAGTTATTTCCAAACACTGCGGATCCCCAAATGGACCTGTTGAGAAGAAGTTAGCGCTTTAACCTATTATCGTGATACTAGCAGCCGAACTGAAGACTTTTAGCATTAAGAAAGACCCATACACATATATGAGCCTTTCTTCGTCAAATATTAAACCACATGATGTGATGTCGGCAAAAAGCTAGTACCATTTTCCTCATGGAGATTACTATAACTAATAGAACATCACGTCTAAAAGATCAAGGTACAAAATGTACGAAACTCTTAAAATAAGGTACAAAAGATTCAATATGAATCTGATCTGTCACTACAAGACGTCAGATGTGTCTTGTATTCGTATACTTATGTATTACTGGCATTGCCGGTACTCTTTTAAACCCACAGGATTTACTATAACACTTAAATACAACCCACAACATGAAAGACATGAAATACACATTGTTAGGGAACACGTAAAACCTCAACTCAAAACAAAAAGGAATAAAACATAGGCAGTTGAGGACAACCGTACAACGCAGAAAATACTCCAGTTTTACAAGAAGAAAATACGTTTAGACACATTTTCTGATTTTACCCAACAGTTCTCATACTCCATGCGTGATGAGGAACCTAGAAAACCTTTACTGGCAAGAATCCAGATGTTTAAAAAGTTGGATATAAGTAGGGAAACCACTAAATGGATGAATTTGAGTCACACATGCAGTCAAGCATAGGTTATGAAGGCTTGAAACCATAATCTGTGATGTCATCCAGATGCACAGTTGATTAACCAATCGAAACGTAATGTTAACCCTCCGAATTATGTATTTAAACATCAGTAATATAAAACGTAGCTACCTTTAGCTGCACATTAGTATGACATCACAGTTCAATGGAAGGGGGGATTTTCTTTTACCTTTGTGGTTATAAAACAACCAATCCATCGCCCCAATTCAGTGGCATCCCCCTTTATACGAGGCAGTATCTCTTGCCATACAAGGTGGATATGTTTAAGGTGAATACCAAGGAACTTACAGAGTAATTAAGGTATAAAATGCAGCTTGAATATGAGCGTAAAAAGGCACCATGGACATCACACACAACCACACGTCTTTGGGCTAAAGTTGAACCGGCTTCACATACCTTCATGTTCACGGTATATTGGCCATGTTTTTATTTTCCCTTAAACTTTTTTTCTTATAAACAGAAATGTGGTCCAGTCATTCTTCATTTTCTTCTTAGAAACAAAACACTAGTAAAATGATTTATGTCTGGACACATCAGAATATCCTTACATGTAAAAACTTGATACAACATAAGTAAAGAATAAAAAAAAAGGGTTTCAACAGGATAAATATTGAGAGAAAGTTCTGGTTTTTGTACATGATGACTACATAGATATAATGGTTGCCCCCTCTGCTTTCTTTGTGAAAATGTACATGAGATTCACTTCTGATCTATATTATAAGGAAATAGTGGTATTTTTTAAAATAACTGCTTTTGTTTGACTATCTTTGAAGCCGAAATAGACAAAGAACAAAGTGGGATAAATTAAAAAAGCTTGACATTATGGAAACTCTTACTGTGACGTGGCATCACTTCCCAAACAAGGGTTCAGAGGAAAATTAAAACGCATTGGAGAAGTGTTACCTACAATTTCTCATGAAGAAATGCATCTTTTGTAAGAGTGCAATATCAAAATGATCAAAGGGTGTCTTGATTGGAATTAGGGGATGCAATGAAAGGGGGCAGGAATTCAATTCACGGGGGAAAGTCATCAGGTTATTTTTCTTCTACAGCTTCGTCTGAAGGCAAACCATCAACGTTTTAATCCAGATCAACCATGCAGCTCCGCGATAAGGCAACAAATCAAAATATAGTCACGCAGATTTAAATGAGTCATATCAGAACAAAGGAGGCCTAATGTATGACCTGGCAAAGGTTTAAAGAAATGAATCCGTACGCTAATTCAATCTGATTTATCAAAATGTGACCAAATGTGCGATTAATTGGAAGTTATCAACGTTGCAAAGTCCAGTCTCTCAAAGCACACTAAATCTAAATACTGCATAATCAGACTAACAACTAAAAAAATACATCCAAAAGGATTTGAAGGAAACTTCCAGGTAACAGCTAAAATATTCAACAACAGAACAGAACAAGGAGAAATGACCGTAACTCGAGATAAACTTAACAATCTGAACTCAAGAAAACACCACAAAATAAACACAAGAAAGCACAACATTTACAAATCCTAAAACCGTTGGAAAGCTTTTTAAGTTTACATCCAAAACCAATTGGTTTTCAAGTCACTGCTTCCACCTTCGTGCCTGTATGCAAGTTCTCCACTAGATGGTGCCATTCACCCAAAAACTGCTTGAAGACTATCTGAGCTTGAGATGTAAAAAAGAAAATGAAGTACAATTAGTGATGAAATACTGCCATCTACAGGCGGGAAGAAGCACCGCAACGTGGAAAGTCATTTTCTGCTCAAAACTACGACAAACAATGAAAAAAACAACTTTCAAAGTGGTCTGCGTGTTTAGTTTTAATACTGAGTCTAACTGAGGAGGGGAGCAACCATTATCCCATGATAAGTTCCACTTAGTGTCCGTGTGGGATGCACAAAACATTCACATCAAAAGCAGGATTATTAAACGGTCCAGTGTCTCTTTTTCGGGTGCCATTTGTACAACAATTCAAGTCAAACAATGGCATGCTCGCGATAGGAACACATAGTCTCTGTCCCAAGTTTATAAGAAGATGAATGAATGATGCTTCTGTGTAGAATCTGAAGAAATAAACGTCGTCCGATGAGATGCTTCCACGTTGTTGGGAGGAATCTTGTAATTGGCTCTTATTGCGCTCCTCATCCATCAATCAGCGACACATCAATGTGGGACAAATCAATCATGTGCCTGTGTGGTTAATGCGATAATAAGGTGTGAGTTTTTAAAGCTACTGACTATAGGCGCTTTCACACCGAGTACTTTGCCGTACTTAGTTCATGAGAACTCTTTAGTTCTGATGAACTAAAGAGCAGATCGCGTTCACACCGGAATAAGTCCCTGAGGGAGGATTAGGCAAATGGAGCCGCTTCGTCTTCTTCTGCTTCGGGTTTACTGGCAGGCCGCAAACCACTTCACGGCGTATACTGCCACCCGAAGTCTCCGGAGTTGAAAGCCGAGTAAATCGCCGACACCTCCTCATCTCCACCGCTCCCATGTTTTCTTTTGTGTTGCCATAAGTTAGTCTCTCTGCGTTGGTGCGCTGGGCTAATGCTAATAATGCTAATGCGAGCAAATAAAATGGCGGCTTCACAAAACTTTTCGGGAGTTTTACGGGGCGTGGTTTGCAATCCACCCAGCCAATCAGAAATGGGAACCTTTTTCTCCCACGAAAGTACCTGCTCTCTCGCAGGGACTGAAACGGGGGAGGAAAGGTTCTCATGAACTAAGTTCTATTCCGGATTCTTTTGGTGTGAACGCACATTTTCGGAACTATATCGGAACTATACTGGGAAAAGTACTCCGGTGTGAAAGCGCCTATTGTTGTGGTGCTTAAAAAATGTACAGAAGCCACATTTAGTGCTGCAGATATTTGAATATACGAGGGACATCTTTCAAAAGTGGATACAAGGCACATTAACTTCTTTGAGGTTCTGGAAAAGCTCGTTAGCCACTCAATAATGGTGGAAATGCTAAGAAATTTCTTTTTTTTCTGCTATAATAACAGTTTTACTTGCACTATAGCAATGATCTTGGTGTCAAATCATACATTTTTGACCGAAGAAACCAAATATAGACGTCAGGAATTACTCAGAAGCTTCTTTTTACCATGTCTAAGTCATAAGTACTGGTGCCTTTTGCTAACTTAGAAGACTAGTATTGTGTGATTTAGTGTCCAAAATGCTTTCTTCAAAATGTTGTGTTTAAAATGACACAAAAAAGCATTGATGAAGTTTTTTTGAATAGTAAATGTGTCAAAAACATATAATTCAACACCAAAAATCCCAGAAATTGGCACATTAAGTTCTTTGAGGTTTTAGAAAAGCCACTCAATAATGGTGGAAATGCTAAGAAATTTCTTTTTTTTGGTATAATAACAGTTTTACTTGGTGTGTATAAATGATCTTGGTGTCAAATCATACATTTTTGACCGTAGAAACCAAATCACAAGCTTCTTTTTACCACGACTAAGCCATAAAACATGCATTGTGGAAGTATTATGGGGTGTAGGAGTGCAATAGTAGAGGAAGTGACATCATGGTGTTCAGTACCTCATTTTGCTAACATAGAAAAATAGTATTTTGTGGTTTAGTGTCCAAAATGCTATCTGATGAGTTTGAAATGACACAAAAAAGCCCTGAAGAAGTGTCTGAATTGTAAATGTGACTTCCCCAGAGTCTAAAACATATAATTCAACACCAAAAATCACAGAAAATGGATAGAGTTGTTAAAATTCTGTGGTAAAATTGTTCTGAAAATGCGCTTGTTTCCACTTTTGAAAGAGTGTCGTTACAGCAGCACTAAATGGCATCATGTAAACAACAAACCACAGTTATCATTTGATTTGTTTTTATATTAAAATGTGATGAAGAAAGGAGGAGTATTGATTACCTGTGGAAGCTCATCTGAAAATTGTTGGCATGCTGGGAGCTGGAAAATGTGGCGACTGCTTTCCTCTGCTGGGGCATCATTTTGAACATCTGCAAATTAAACGGATATGAATATGTTGAATTATTATAGTAGGAACAAAACAGGTGTCACTTGTAATCAGTGGTGGAAAGTACATTAGCTCAAGTACTGTACTTAAAGGTCTCCTATCAGGCTATGTTTAGGCAATAGCATAGATCTCAGATATATAAAATACATGTCTATGAAGTGTTTTGCTCCAAACACCAAACAGATCATTCTAGCCATGCCTCATATCCCTCTATTTCACTTCCTGTTTCTAAAGTGCTGATTTGGGTATAAAGCTTTAAAGAGGAGGGGGCGGAGCTTATGCGGGACCCGGCAGCTACTGTCTAAACTAAATGCTGCCGTGATGAAACGCCATATCATGGATTATCAAGGATTCTCTCTGAAACAGTCTGGAGCTCAAAGGCTTTCTCTCTTGCCGGTTATACCACAAGGTGAGTTCCTTTTTACTTCCTGCTTCTTCACACACATGCTCTCCAGTACAGGTTAGCTCTGAGTGTTAGCGATGCTAATGTAAACACCGACCATATTACGTCCAAAACGGTCGGGCATTGTTTCTGATAGCAACGTTTCTGATTGGGCCGTGGGTCCACATTTCAGATATTACGTCATATCGGACGCAAATCTGGATCAGCTCCGTTGTTCCCCGTTTTTAGAGATGTGGGTACGGAGGAAAAGAGAGAGGGTTTTATCTTCTGACGCTGCGTGAGTTCCCCGACACACCGGGGACACATGGTGATGGAGAGAAGACATCACAAAGTGCATTTTGCATGATAGGTCCCCTTTAAATACAAATGTGAGGTACTTAGACTTCAGTATTTCCATTTGTATGCTGCTTTATACTTAAAATAATGTACTTTTTATTTCACTTAAGTTACTTTAAAGCCTTTTAGATTCATATTTCTACAGATACATTTTGCAGTACCTTTAAACATCTGATGTTGTGATGAAGATTAAATGACAATTCTGCCGGAAAATAACCACGTAACTTCTCAAATGTGAAGATTGGCCGTTTTTTGCTTAAACAAATAAATCCGATTTTAAAAACTGACATTTCTAGAATTACTTTTGTGATTTTTGTTGTTGTTTTCCTCTGTATTTAGATGATGATTTAGTTACTTCTACTATTTTTCTTTTCTCTTGGTGTATTAAGAACAGTGTTCCTGTATAACTGTTTTGAAAGTTGCTACATAAATAAAGTTTAAATGCGTTTTCTCTGCGAGGATTACTTTCACCCTTTATACTTTAAGGTCATTTTAAGTACTGTAACCTAAGTACCATTCTCAATACAGCACTATTACATGTAGTTGAGTATTTTTTTAGGGATGTAACGATACCAAAAACTCACGGTACGATAATATCGCGTTAAAAAGTCCACGGTACGATATTTATCGCGATATTAAATAATAAATCTGATTTGTTCAGCATTTTAGTAGATAGTAGTATTTTAAAGTGTCAACAATATAATAATCAGACCCGGCAATAGAATAAATCAAGTTTCACTTTAGTTTTTCAAGTAACTCAACTCTAACTCACTCACTCAGCGTCATCAAGGTTATCTTTTAGGAATATGAGCATGTCCACATTTCCAGGTAGAAGCTGGGATGTTTGGGCGTTTGTAAAATCCCCTGCTGTGGAAACAACTCTCTCGCTTGGTACTGATGTTGCTGGGACAGAGAGACATGCTTTGGCCATGGGTGACAGCAGTGGGTCAAACTGTGCATCGTCTCTCCACCACTTCAACAACAATACAGTTGTTGCCAAGAAGGTGAGGCTTATTGACAGAGATAAATATACTGTTGGTACTTGTCAATGTCTCTAGGTGTGTACATGTAGCCCTGTAAATACCATGTCCTCTTGTGTTATCTGTTGTTTTATGTTCATGTTGTAACCTACTTGCTGCCATGTTGGACAGGTCTCCCTTGAAAAAGAGATTGATGGGACCATCTGGTTAAATAAAGGTTTAAAAATATATATATATCGCTGTAGATTGTCAGTCTTGTATCTATTTGCCGCAATATCGCGATATATCGTTACATCCCTAGTATTTTTACAAGGTAGTATTAGTACTTCTACGTAAGTCAAGCACTTCTTATAACAATAACAACGTCTAAACCCGATTAAAAGCAGCTAAATTACATTTTCTATTATCCTCGTGCTTTTGCTACTGTCAAAATGTCTTCTGCTCACAACTAGATCTACTTCTTATCCACAAGAGGGAGTGGGGTGATGTAGGGAAATGCATTTATTCACAATCTCTACCTAATCACAACGACAGAGGGCGCCATTAGATCACACTACGAGAAAAAATGCCCCTATGGTGGTACATGTATGTTTTTATCATGACATACGACAATACTTTAACGGTATGTGTACATGTGTAACAACATAAAGAAATATCAAGACACAATACATGGAAAACAAACATTTAATAACAGCAGGATCAGTGAGAGGAAAGAGCCTTCAGCGTGCATTTGATTCTCTGTAAAATGTATTTGGGATATGAATAGTTTATGTAAATAACACAATTTGTGTTCTTTGAACCTGAAAAGGAGTTGATTTTGTTACTTTCATTGCGATTGAATACTGTCTTAACGTAACTTCCTGTTTTATATAGCCATTAGCAGGGAGTTACTGTTCCCAAAGCAACAACCTGACGGAGAGAAAGTACATTACATGTCACTTATCCAAAGCGACTCACGTACTCAATACTGTGGACAATCCCCACAGGAGCAATTTGGGGTGAAGCGTCTCAGGGACACCACGACATGCTGACTGCAGTGGGACTCGAACTTGCTACCCCCCGATTCGAAGTCCAGCGCACTGTCCACTGAGCCACAGCCTCCCACTTGTGTCTTAAGTACAGATATTAACGGAGATATCAACGTTTAAATACGGCGATATCAAAGATAAAGTTTGCATCGCTCTCGGCGTCCCGGCCCAACCACTGGGACACTCTTAAACCCACCTTCCTTTGTCCTACTTGGAAATAAAACTTTACACGACCCTTAAGAGATTCCCTTAATAACATAGGCTACTTATTTTGATTAATTACCTCTGAAACTTACTGTTCTCTTAATAAGAACACATTGAAGTGTTAGCCAGAGGCACAAGGTTCGTGTTAACTGTGATAAACATGTCTTAATTCCTTTATATACTGGATTGCTAACTATTTGAAGTTCACTTGTTTAACGGTATTCTAAAGTAATGCTATGTTCTTGAGTAAAAGTAGAAGTACTCAGGTCTTGTTCTTGAGTAAAAGTAGAAGTACTCTGATTTTGTTCTTGAGTAAAAGTAGAAGTACTCAGATCTTGTTCTTGAGTAAAAGTAGAAGTACTCTGATCTTGTTCTTGAGTAAAAGTAGAAGTACTCTGACCTTGTTCTTGAGTAAAAGTACTCTGATCTTGTATTTGAGTAAAAGTAGAAGTACTCAGATCTTGTTCTTGAGTAAAAGTAGAAGTACTCAGATCTTGTACTTGAGTAAAAGTAGAAGTACTCAGATCTTGTTCTTGAGTAAAAGTAGAAGTACTCAGATCTTGTACTTGAGTAAAAGTAGAAGTACTCTGACCTTGTTCTTGAGTAAAAGTAGAAGTACTCAGATCTTGTTCTTGAGTAAAAGTAGAAGTACTCAGATCTTGTACTTGAGTAAAAGTAGAAGTACTCAGATCTTGTATTTGAGTAAAAGTAGAAGTACTCAGATCTTGTTCTTGAGTAAAAGTAGAAGTACTCAGATCTTGTATTTGAGTAAAAGTAGAAGTACTCAGATCTTGTTCTTGAGTAAAAGTAGAAGTACTCAGATCTTGTTCTTGAGTAAAAGTAGAAGTACTCAGATCTTGTACTTGAGTAAAAGTAGAAGTACTCAGATCTTGTACTTGAGTAAAAGTAGAAGTACTCAGATCTTGTTCTTGAGTAAAAGTAGAAGTACTCAGATCTTGTACTTGAGTAAAAGTAGAAGTACTCAGATCTTGTACTTGAGTAAAAGTAGAAGTACTCAGATCTTGCTCATAAATATTTGTGTGTCTTTGTGTAGCTCTTACGTTGGTTTTCAATAAATGAGAAATCATCAGTCAAGTGTTCGACCATCTTTCGGAGTGATATGCTACAGTCTATATCATAAAACATCAATACTTGGCGTCCGCGTATCGATACAATATCTCGATACTATGCCGTATCGATTATTTCCCCCACCCCTAACGGAAACCCCGGTTCCTACCTCTATGGGGCCGATGGATCTGAGGAGGTTCTGCAGTTGTGCGTCAGTAGTAGAAGAAGAAAGGCCTTCGATGGAAACGGTGCAGCGTTCAGTCTCGGCTGCTTTCGGACTTTGTCTCGTGGACATTGGCCGACCTCGACCAACCGGAGCGACCCCTCGCCCTCGTCCCCGTGCCGAAACGACCACCTACACCCCACGCAAAGTGTGAGAAAAAACGCCCACATTTGGTAAAAAAAGAATAAATGAAATCGGGGAAGGGTGAGGAGGAGAAAGCGGCGGCGGCGGCGGAGGCGGAGATACAGAAGATTTTACAGGCATTCTTTCAGTTATTATGCTCCAAATATCTGGAACAAACTACCAGAAACATGCAGGAAATGATATCACAATATGAAAGATGGGGGTTAATAAGATAAGACTTTATTTATCCCGAAGGAAACAGTTGTGCCAGAGTTACAGAAATACAATAAACACAGCAGCATAATAATAAAATACCTTTTCCCAATCATTTGAGTCCACTTTAAATCGTCCTCTCCATGATGGTATGTTTGTGTTTTTATCGTTCTGTTGCGTTTACCTCTTAGAATATTTAACTAATTGTACGGTGTCCTCGAAAGACGCCTTAAATAAAAGGTATTATTTGTATTATTAAAACTGTACACTGACAGCGCAGTAAAAAGAGCAATTAAATATCTACAGGAAACAATAAGGTCGCATAATTAATGTAAATAACGTAGTGGCAGATACGGGATTGCACGTTATTATAGCTTAATAATAATAATATTGCACATGTTATATTCCACAACCCATGCTAACATATTATTAGTAGTAGACCAAAAAGGTAGATAGATATGTCACTATGTGTACAGATGTCCATTTTCACTTTAACTTATTCCGTACTATAACTTAGATGACCAAATATGTACATATGCTGACAGTTATATTACTCTTATTTTTACTCATCTCCTATTTTATAGTATTTTATTCTTGATTTAAATTATTTTTGATTTTATTAATCTGTGTGAATCTTTGCTGTCCTGAACTGAATTTCCCCTCGGGGATTAATAAAATCTTATATCTATATATATATATTTATTTTGCACATAGTGTTGGTACTGAAGAGTTATTGATACAGAAGCTTTCAGTTATAATGCTCCAAATATCTAACTACTATTACTTTGAATTGCCTTGTGTTGAAAGGGGCTATATAAATAACCTTTCAACCATGTGGAGACGAGCTATACTCCGCACAAAGAACGTTTTAAAAACCGCTGCGTGTTTTCCCTCTCACATGATTGACTTATCATATCTCTACACTGACGTCAAAACACGATGCATGGCATATCTTCATTTGAGCTTGAGAGGTATGTGTTTTCTTCTGCAGAGGAGGAGGAGGAGGAGGAGGAGGGGGAGGGAAAGAGTGAAGTGAAAGGGAATATTTTGTGTGTGTGTTGGGGGCGGGGGAGCGTACGAGCGATGCAAGAGTTGTGCCGACTGCCGTAGCTTTTCAGCGTCACTGAGTTTGGTTTCTGTGACAGGTGATGGGCGTAGAAAGAGGCCGAGGGACCTTATGTTACCCTCACGTGTTACACTGCACTCAAATTGTCAATATACTGCTGCACCTGGCATACTGTCCTGTCTTATTATCACTGCTGCGGCTCCATCGCTATGTGAGGCAGCCGGCGTCAATTACGCCCAAATCTTTCACCGTCACCTCGAATATATATTTCTATTTTCTAGTCTTTTTCAAATGATGTTCAATGTGTTGTTTTAACAGGTCGCTGTGACGGAGAAAAGGTCACAATTTGGGATCAATAAAGTCAGTCTTACATTATGGACGCATGCTCGATGGAAGTCTTCATAAGCTCAAAATATATGTGTTCGCCTTTTAGGTAGCCAACACTCTCTCAATGCACTCGGATGCATCTTAAATCTTAATATCATCCCATCGCTGCCTTTATTTCAGCTGGTTATCACAATGTGAATTTGCCCATATCTTTCACCGTCACCTTGTATATATTTCTCTTTTCAAGTGATGTGCATTGTGTTGTTTCAATAATGTACCAATTTGGGATCAATTAAGTTAATCTTACATTATGGAAGCAAAGCTCAAAATATATCTGTTCGCCTTTTAGGTAGCCAACACTCTCTCAATGCACTCTGATGCATCTTAAACTGTTTCTATTTGCTTTAATATCATCCCATCGCTGTCATTATTTCAAGTTGTAACCACAATGTGAATTTGCACCATCCTTCGTTATATCATCGCACATTTTCAGTCTATTCTTTGCTCATTTCTGTCTATTTTTCTGTCTTTTACTGGTAACGGTTTTTCAACTTTCTGTGACTATTTTACACACACAATTAAAGCTTATGGTGCTTTTATCTATTATATTTTATTGTATATACTTGCACTATTTGATCTGTTTCTCTGTCAGATTTCATCGACAGAACTTCACCGTAGCTGTGTTCGAATGACAATAAAAGCCTTGAGATCTTTAATCTTTTATTTCAGAGCCCCACACTGTTAATATAGATATATTGTCAGTGTTGCACAGGGGATAGCATGCAGCGGTTCCTCACATACCCTGTTCTGCTGTGGGGTGACTCCTCGTCCAGCTGGAGCTGCTACTACTGCTCCTTGTTGCCCCGCCATCGTTACCTTTCTTTGGGTCAGAGGTGATGCCGTCCAGGTGCCTTGTTGTTGTTGTTGAACTGGATTTGCAACACCAACTCCTACACCCTGTAAGATGGAAGAACTTTGAGCCATTTTGCATATGTATCTTATTTATATATTGTATTTTCTCTATGTTGATGGATGTATCGATGAATTATAGCGACATATAGTCACACATATGGTGAAACGCATGATACCCATAATACGCCGTATAGCTTCGAATCTTTTGTTTAAAAGTTTACTATTTTCTCAGTTCCCTTTAATGGACTACGATGGATCATTAATGTGGATGTGGGTTGTTTTTCTGACCGCTCATATCACTCACTCAGCCCCTCAAACACACCAAATCCCAGGCTTCTTCCTATCAATCTGCAGGCATCACAATCATATTCAATCGTTCAGGCGAAGAGGGAAATACAAGGCCATATCTACAAAGTGGCAGCGTTGGATCCCTATCCGACATGCTGCGAGGAATAAAGATCCACCCAACAAGGTGATGGTCTCATTATCAAATAAAGTCACAGCTTCGAGTGTGTTGACAGAGCGGGGGAAGAGGAGGAATTGAAGGTCGTCTCTTGTTCATCCCGCGACTCTGCAGAGATGTGACAGATCAATACAGAGGGAGAAAGGAGGCGATATCTCTGACCTGTCCCCAGTTGAGAGTAAATGGATTAATCCCTCCTATAGAAATCACAGCTCCTGATTGCACCCATCAAATGCTAAGCTGCATTACACTGGGACGACAGCAGCTCGATGTGTACCCCACCCCCCCCAAATTCCCACAGCTTTTGTGTCTCCTTGCGCTGCTTTGTATTATCCCTGATGAAAATATAATTTGCCTCTTATCTGCGCGCCTAAGCCATACAAATCCAAATCCTCAAAAGTGGCAACTTTCTTACGCAGGTATTATGTCTCCGGCGTTCAAGCAAGAAAGATTAATTACAAGGGTTTTTGGATTGGCATCCTTTTGTGGGTTTGCCTCGCACCTGAGAGATGGGGCTGATGGGGAACCGAGGGATGACAAAGTGGAAAGGAAGGAGCAAGTAAAAAAGGGGAGAGGAGACGAGATAACATTGTCAAGCGCTGGCTGATGACAGCTGAACAATGTGGAAGAGGGAGCATCAAGACAAGTCTCTACATTTTCACATCCCTCTCTACCTTTCCCTCCATGATGCGCTACATCAGATAGCTGTGCACAGGTTTCCATTACCACACTGACACCCAGTTATCTTCATCTGCAGCCAGAGTGAGATTCTTTCTCTTTTAGCAGCTTGATCCTCTGGGATGGGAGTCGGAAAAGCGGCTTATTTTCAAAAATACTATCCCGTCTCATCGTCGGTGACAAGTGTTAAACATGCATGCCTTTGTGCTTTTTCAATAACGATGAATGTGTAATTAAGGCCACAGCAGTAACTTATCGAGGCAGTGAGAGATATATCCGGACTTGTTGGTGTTACTGTCTCTATATCTTTCAAAGTGCTGCCCTTAAAGAAGGATATCAACCTTTAAAAGCAGTGACGAGCTGTCCCTAACTCTGTAGATAAATGTCATTCTGCCCCTTTTAATGCCTACAGCCTTTCCTGTGATCTTAAGGCAAGATGTGCGTGAAAGCATCGTGTCTTTACAGATCCATTTTACCAAAATGACACATCACATCAGCCTGTCATTCCCATAGGTTAGACATCTTTTAGATTACAAAATAGACAGTGTGGCGGCAATCAGTCGTTTTCCCTCGTGGGGCGAAATCTGAAGGTGACGGATACAAAATGAAATGCTCACCGCTCCTGAAAGTTTGACGACTCTGACTTTTTGTGGCACCTGCTGGTCATCGACGCTTTTGGTCCGCTGCATTACGGTTCTTTTCGCGCCCGCTTGAGGAGGCCCCGGAGTCTGAATTTGAGGAGTTACCGGGATGTTCTTCTGAGGAAGCGTCTGTATCTGAGCTCCAGGTCTGATCTGAACACAGTTCCTTCGCTGTTGGGGGTTTGGTTGAGTCCATTGCTGATCTGGAACATGCACTTGGGGGGTTTGTTGTTGTTGTTGTTGTTGGATGTTTCCTTTCACCATCTGAAGGCGTGCTTTCACATTAGGTCGTGGCGTGAGAATCTGAGGATTGCCGTTTGGAGGAATGACTTGAATGGGATTCTTAAAAGTCTGATTTAAAGGTTGTGGGGCTCTCTGAGGCAACTGTCTCTGCGGCTGCTGTGGTGGTGGTGGTTGTCTTTGTTGTTGTTGTGGTTGTGGTTGTTGTTGCTGTACAAGTTGTGGCATTTGCTGGTTTTGTTGTGCAGGTTGAATCTGTGGTGTCGGAGTCTGAGAACTGATCCTTTCGAGCAACTCCTTCTTTCTGACGCCGGCTTGCATTTGTCGTCTCATTTCCTTCGTTTTCAGAATTTCTTCTCGCAAACGCTTCTGTTCCTCGATCTTCAAACGGTACTGCCGGGTTTCCTCGTCTTCGTTGGGATCCTGTGGAACAAAAAACAGCTGGGAATCACGGTGTGCTTTTTATTCAACACTAAAGATGTAATCACAGGCAAAACCCAAGAGAAGAAATGCAATAGTATTGATCTGGCCGGGTTCAATTGATTGAGACCGCTGTCATTATCGCCCTTATGATTGGGCTTTGAATAAAAGGAGCTCTTCCCTGCATACTGATTGGTTCGTGGTTCTTGTCAATTCTCGGACACTGGGAATTCAGAAGGAAACTCAAAATGATGATTGAAAACTGATAATGTCTGCACAACCCCCTACTAAAATATAACACACTGCAGTTTGTCGTATATCATATATTCATTTCACTACGTTTTTTGTTTCTTTTGTATATTTATATTTGGTGTAAATACTCTTTTTCTTATGTTAAATCTTTATTTTTTTATTATTTTCTTTCTATAATCGTTGAATTTTTGACCTCCTACAACTTACTTCCTTATGTTGTTTCATTTTGGCTCCATCACACACCAAAGCAAGACCCTTTTACGAGTAAACGCACCTTGCAATAAACTTGATTCTGATTTTCTGAAATATATATTTTTGGTTTCCTTGATTTTGTTTTACAAGAAACTGACCAGTGGTGTTCTTGGGATTTCCTTTCGAACCACCGTCCTTCCTCCGGGTGGCTGTGACTGCATCTTGGAAACGACCTGTCCTCTTCCTCTTCCTCCGTCGGGCATCGGTTGCCCTGGACGCACACCCGGTATTGCCTTGGCAACAGGCCGAATGTTGGCGGCGGGGCGGGCGTTGTTCATGTTCATGTTCGTGTTGGCAGGCGCGACAGGAAGCTCCCGCAGGTTGCTGTTGCGATGCTGCATTTGCTTAGACATGGGTGTGTTCTGGAGAGAAAATAAAATACATATTGTATATATATACACACCTGAACATCAGCAGGAGAGGACTCTTTAAAGTAGAGACACTACATACTGATATACACCTGAACATCATCAGGAGAGGACTCTTTAAAGTATAGACACTACATACTGATATACACCTGAACATCAGCAGGAGAGGACTCTTTAAAGTAGAGACACTACATACTGATATACACCTGAACATCAGCAGGAGAGGACTCTTTAAAGTAGAGACACTACATACTGATATACACCTGAACATCAGCAGGAGAGGACTCTTTAAAGTAGAGACACTACATACTGATATATACACTGAACATCAGCAGGAGAGGACTCTTTAAAGTAGAGACACTACATACTGATATACACCTGAACATCAGCAGGAGAGACTCTTTAAAGTAGAGACACTACATACTGATATACACCTGAACATCAGCAGGAGAGGACTCTTTAAAGTAGAGACGCTACATACTGATATACACCTGAACATCAGCAGGAGAGGACTCTTTAAAGTAGAGACACTACATACTGATATACACCTGAACATCAGCAGGAGAGGACTCTTTAAAGTAGAGACACTACATACTGATATACACCTGAACATCAGCAGGAGAGGACTCTTTAAAGTAGAGACACTACATACTGATATACACCTGAACATCAGCAGGAGAGGACTCTTTAAAGTAGAGACACTACATACTGATATACACACCTGAACATCAGCAGGAGAGGACTCTTTAAAGTAGAGACACTACATACTGATATACACCTGAACATCAGCAGGAGAGGACTCTTTAAAGTAGAGACACTACATACTGATATACACCTGAACATCAGCAGGAGAGGACTCTTTAAAGTAGAGACACTACATACTGATATACACCTGAACATCAGCAGGAGAGGACTCTTTAAAGTAGAGACACTACATACTGATATACACCTGAACATCAGCAGGAGAGGACTCTTTAAAGTAGAGACACTACATACTGATATACACCTGAACATCAGCAGGAGAGGACTCTTTAAAGTAGAGACACTACATACTGATATACACCTGAACATCAGCAGGAGAGGACTCTTTAAAGTAGAGACAATACATACTGATATACACCTGAACATCAGCAGGAGAGGACTCTTTAAAGTAGAGACACTACATACTGATATACACCTGAACATCAGCAGGAGAGGACTCTTTAAAGTAGAGACACTACATACTGATATACACCTGAACATCAGCAGGAGAGGACTCTTTAAAGTAGAGACACTACATACTGATATACACCTGAACATCAGCAGGAGAGGACTCTTTAAAGTAGAGACACTACATACTGATATACACCTGAACATCAGCAGGAGAGGACTCTTTAAAGTAGAGACACTACATACTGATATACACCTGAACATCAGCAGGAGAGGACTCTTTAAAAGTAGATACACGACATACTGATATACACCTGAACATCAGCAGGAGAGGACTCTTTAAGTAGAGACACTACATACTGATATACACCTGAACATCAGCAGGAGAGGACTCTTTAAAGTAGAGACACTACATACTGATATACACCTGAACATCAGCAGGAGAGGACTCTTTAAAGTAGAGACACTACATACTGATACACACCTGAACATCAGCAGGAGAGGACTCTTTAAAGTAGAGACACTACATACTGATATACACCTGAACATCAGCAGGAGAGGACTCTTTAAAGTAGATACACTACATACTGATATACACCTGAACATCAGCAGGAGAGGACTCTTTAAAGTAGAGACACTACATACTGATATACACCTGAACATCAGCAGGAGAGGACTCTTTAAAGTAGAGACACTACATACTGATATACACCTGAACATCAGCAGGAGAGGACTCTTTAAAGTAGAGACACTACATACTGATATACACCTGAACATCAACAGGAGAGGACTCTTTAAAGTAGAGACACTACATACTGATATACACCTGAACATCAGCAGGAGAGGACTCTTTAAAGTAGAGACACTACATACTGATATACACCTGAACATCAGCAGGAGAGGACTCTTTAAAGTAGAGACACTACATACTGATATACACCTGAACATCAGCAGGAGAGGACTCTTTAAAGTAGAGACACTACATACTGTTCGCAGAATGACCCAATTCTTTCTGCGGTTTCTTCACAATTGATGTAACGTATTAATTTCTCACCATCCTCTGCCTGTTGGACATGTTTCTCTGTTGGGGGTTTTGAGGGCGGGGACTCATCTGTCGGGGGCCTCCATGCACCTGCTGTTGGTGGAAAGGATTCTGGCCGTGGTGCATCATGGGACGCGGCTCATTGACATTTGGATGTTGATGCTGATGATGAGGTAAGTCCTGCCTGTGATGCAGCTGCTGGTGCAGGTGCATGGGCTGATGGGGAAGCTGGGAAACGGGAGGTCCCATTAAGCCCTGGAATCACAGAGAAAGACGACAAATCATATTATTTTTTCAAGCAATAATACCTGAAAAAAAACAATTAACTAAGGATGACAAAAGAGGATAGAATGATTGATTTAAATATATATAAATTACAGGGAGTAGTAAACATTTGCAATAAGGGAACAGTATACAGGAGAAGGATTTCATTGCCATTGTCGTCACCGTAGCTTTGTGCATATGACAATAAAACCGTTGAATCTACATCGAAACCCTCCCCTTTAATTTACGTGCATCTTCACGAACTTTATACAATAACAGAAGGGATGTTTTCGTAATAATACCTAGGGATGGGTATCGTTAAGGTTTTAACGGTACTACAACTTTTATCGATACCGCTTATCGGTCCGGTCTTTTAACGGTTCTTTTGGAGAAAAAATGGCAAAACTAATTGTGAACAAAACTAAAATTGCTTTTTATTTAAATTAAATAAATAATATTTCACATCAAAAGAAACAACAGTGTTTTAACAAATCGTATTAAATAATCTGAAGACAGAACTGTAAACAATAGCTGAAACTTTAACAGACTAAATAACTCAGTTTCCTCTAATCATTAACACATGTTTGTATCACTGAGTTAACTCCGTGTGTTGCTGCTAGCATACAGAACACCTGACGTGGAAACGTTACTCGTGGACAGGGCTACAGAGCTGCTAGAAAGACAGTGGAACCCGGTGCATTCCTCCGTCTGGGTGTGGAGCGCTTTTGATACATGTTTAGACAAATTGCTCGTGTTGCCGCCCTTACATGCTGAACTCTTATTGCACTTTAGGTAACGAGCATCGAGACGGGTAAAGTTTAACCACCTCGGAGCGCGTTCTCTCTGCCATCTCCTCCGTGTGTGTGTGTGTGTGTGTGTTGCTGCATGTAGCAGCTGCGTGTGTGTAAACTGCCCCGCCCCCTCGCACACAGACGGGAGAGAGAGATCTCTCGTCTGGATTGGAAAAATCGAAAATACTAAAAATAATCATAGTCGCATTTTGCAGTCTTTTTGCGTGTTAGAAACCGAGTTGGCGACACTAAACCTCCAATATAATGTGTGTGTAGCGATAATACAGATGACAAATGTTTTAGATATCTCCAGTACCGATAATGTTGGAGCTTAACGGTACCACAGTCTTTAATAATTCAGCCCCGGGGCTCGGTACCCATCCCTAATAATACCACTACTATTTAGAAATATTTATGGCTATTTTACTTGCATCCTTTGGTTACTATAACCCTTTATGAAAACACAGTTCAATCCATCCATCTATCCATCTATCCATCTATCTATCTATCCATCTCTCCATCCATCCATCCATCCATCCATCCATCCATCTATCCATCTATCCATCTATCTATCTATCCATCTCTCCATCCATCCATCCATCCATCCATCCATCCATCCATCCATCCATCTCTCCATCTATCTCTCCATCTCTCCATCCATCCATCCATCCATCCATCTATCCATCCATCTCTCCATCTCTCCATCCATCCATCCATCCATCTATCCATCCATCTATCCATCTATCCATCCATCCATCCATCCATCCATCTATCCATCTCTCCATCCATCCATCTCTCCATCCATCCATCCATCCATCTCTCCATCCATCCATCCATCCATCCATCTCTCCATCCATCCATCCATCTTATACAATGTTAACGAACTTTAAACAATAACAGAAGTTTGTAATAATACCTCTTTTATCATCAGTAATCTCTAAATTGAATCGGACAGCTCCTGCATATAATTAACCTCCATGTGATTCACTCACTAGAGGGAGCTCTTGTCTACGTCTCGTGACAAAAAGCTGGTGCCAAACAAACTGAGAATGAGTCTGTTTTTCCTTAACGCTTCAATAGCAGTGAATATAATAACTTGTCTAGTTTATTCATGTGTACAGTACTCCAGTCATCGCTCTGGCTACAGAAATATTAATAATCTAGACTAAAGCACACAAATCATTCATTCATGGCACACAAAGCATGTTGTCATACGTAAGGGAGGATGCTTTAAAAACCACCATACTTTGGTTTAAACTCCTTATTTCAAAGGTTCAAAGTGCTTCATTGTCATATGTTAACCTTACATTTCTGCCTCATGTTGTTATTGTATTCATGTTTCTGTGGTCTTCATTTTAACTGTTCTTTCTTGTGAAAGGTGCTATACTAAATAAACGTATTATTATTTATTATTATTATATGCACAGTGGCTATAGGGTAGATATGCAATGATAAAGAAAATATATGGTTGAAATAAGACGGTATTTAGCAAGAAAACTGGGAGAAACGGCATCAAATTGTCGCACAACACACAAACATATATTAGCTACAGGAATCACTTACTCTCAGTCGTACCTGCATCCCAAACTGGACGTCAGGAGGTGGGAAAAGGCTCCCCTGCTGGCCAAACGGCTGCCGAGGGCCCATGAAGGGTCTCGGCTGATTTGGGGGTCCTTGTTGGTTCATTCCTACCATCCCCTGGTGCCCCTGGTGGGGAGGGAGGTTGGGTCTGGGCGGTTCTCTGGGGAAAAGACCTAGGCCCGGCTGGTTGAACGTGGGTCCTGGTGGGCCGAAACCCATGTGACCCTGAATCTGCTGCTGCTGCTGCTGCTGCTGGTGGAGGCTGTGGTTGCTGTTCATCAGAGAGTTTGGGCCCTGGTGATCAAACATGTGCTGCCCTGGAAACCGTGTGGACTCTGCACGATCTGTGGAGGAAGAGCGAAGAAATGCACCAAGGAAAGACGTCAAAAAAAGCCCATTTTGATACGCAACACCAGCTGGAGAAAGGTAAACAATGTTTGTAAAACTGCATTAAAACAGTGAAAAATATCTAACATAAAGATTTTTAATGCAGTTTCAAAAGGCTCATTCAGATGACGTTAGTTTTTGTGCATTGTGAGCCAATATCAGCATCTACAGACAACTCCATCAAGGTAAACAAAGCTGGGGTGTTTGTAAAACTGCATTAACACAGTGGGAAAACAAATATTTAATGCAGTTCCAAAAGGCTCATTCAGATGTATATATACACACATGCATTTAACATGAGCGCAGCTGATAGAGCAGGAAGCTAGCAGCGTACCCTGTAGGTATACCGCCAGAGGTTATGTTGAATTGGATTAAATATGCCAAGAGAGCTTTGGAAGACTCACCGCCCATAAAGAGAGGCTCTCTGTCTTGGGGGCCTTGCGATGGCTGGCTCCTGAAGGGCTCCATGTGATGAAGGGGCCTCTGAGATTGGCCAAAATTGCCTGACATGTGCTGCTGGAAGTCTCCGGGACCCTGGGAAAACACAGAACTCATGAATTATAGGGCCAGGCAGGGAACTCAATAATCACAAACAAATTCAACTAATGAAAAATGGGACTTTGTTGCGTGTAATTGAAAGGATGGGGTCATTAAAAAAGACACAGAATGTAGAGTTGCAAACATCAATATGCATGGCAATATTAAGGAAAAACACGCTGGCCTGAATTTGTGAGCAAACCTGCATTAACACCAGAACCGCCAGAGGTCGCTGTACCTAACACCGCCAACGGGTCAAATTGACCAGCTAAGGTACAATGTTCTTTATTGATCATACAGAACAGTGAGTTTTGATCGCACAGGGATGAGACTTATACCCATAGAATCTGTGGACTCTCAGCTTTTGTGCAGATAGCTTGAAGTATAAAATATCGCTACCAGTGCTGATTTAAACGCTTGGTGTTAGACTTGTGTTTTGGTACAAATCTCTCTATCTATAACTACCTACCTACCTACCTATCTATCCATCCATCTATATATCTATCTATCTCTCAATCCATCTCTATCTATAACTACCTACCTACCTACCTATCTATCCATCCATCTATATATCTATCTATCTCTCAATCCATCTCTATCTATAAGGAACCGCAGTCGACAAAAGGCGTTGCTATAGCAACACGTCATGTTTACGCTGCATTTTCTGAGGTAAATATTACCCCGCGGGGCGCTGATTTTTTTCAATCTGACTTCATATAGACACTTTTTAACAACAGAGGGTGCTACATAACGCCCTTTCAGGAAGAGTCACGGACTGGGAGACCGTAATATTTGTATTGAAAAGAAGTTACATACAATCAAAAAACAGCTGCGGGTAAAATTGACCCGTTGGCGGTTCTAGTTGCGACTCGAGGCTTTGTTGATAAACCTTCTCAACGGGTATTTCAGGACTTTTGTTTCAGGACTTTATACGATCCACAGCTTTCTCTACTCACTGCATTACTACCTTCCCGAGGGGAAACTAGATAACAACACTTTAATCCCTCCTTGGAATTCGAACCCCCCTCCTAACTTTCTCCTTTATTCCGTTAAACATCCATCTGTGTTGAAAAATTAACCTGCTATTCAACACGTGGCACTTCCACAAATGGGCTGCTTCGCCTCCTCCAAGCCCATTGTAAATTACTTAAGATGCTATCAAGGCTTAATCCATCTTTATTCCAGGTATTTAGGTGTTAGAAAAAAAAGCTAGAAGGTCCCAAAAACTTGCTTAACAGAAAGTTAATCAAAGAGGCTTACAGAGACACAATGAGGGCACAATCATAGCGCTTCTAAAAAAGGGTCAGACAGGCAGGTTTGCACAATGGAGACTCTGGTGTCCATGTAATAAATCTCCAATCAAATCGCTCATCCTCTCGCTTTTCTATCCTTGATAAACAGACTGCGGGCTGCTCAATATGCAACGGATGCTCAGCAGGGAGGGGATATCCAAGACAAGCATAATGGAGAGGGGCCGAATGTCAAAGTGTTAAATAAAGAATGGAAATCTGAGTTTAAATGGAGCTTGTGTTTCTAGGTTTCATGCCTTGTATGTAAAGTCTAAGCTTTGCAACGTATTGAGATATGGTAAGCAGCTCTGACTGCTACCAATTAACCGAGGATGACAATATACGCAACAAGGAGAACACGATAAGGGTTTATAACAAATATATATGGTTAAACTGATCACCTAATACATACTATAAGCATGTGTAATATCATTGTTTTCTGGATGTAATGCCGTTTAAAATAGAGATATGGAGCTCTGACTGCTACCAATTAACCAAGGATGACTTTAAAATGTCAATATAAGTAACAAGGAGGCCATAATAAGGGAACAAATATATAAATTAAAAGGTTAATACTATAAATGAACCCCTAGTGACAACATTTAAACATACTATGGTTGGTGGCTTCTTAAAATCATTATTTTTGTGGTAAAACTGAACAAATATTCTGTGTTTTCAGGATTTAATGCCGTCTAAAAGAGAGAAATTGAGCTTTGACTGCTACCTTTTAACTAGGAATGACAAAGAGGATAGAATAAATGATTTAAATATATGTATAAACACATTTAAAGCTTCAACTACTACAAATCAAAGCCTTTACCATTTCCATATAGTATAAATTGTGGCATCTATATTTCCCGGTCAAACTGAATGTCATTATGCGAAAAGATGAAATATTCTAATACCTTTAATTGGTGCCGAGATTAATATTTCAAACCACCAGGAAAAATGTAATGCATTAATATTAGAAGCTATGACCCCCCCCCCCCCTCTTTTAACAATTAAATGTGATGGGATGATAATGTATGATAATCACGAGTAATCAGGTGCCCACTGGTAAATGGAGAGTTAATGTCACCTGCATTTCAAATTGTGTCCTTGGCAGCAACGGCCTAAACAGCTGGGGAATACGACACTATGCTTTTCATCAAAATAATATAAAAACCCACCGTCTACCGTCTGATAAGAGGGCTCTCACTCTATCAATATCTACCACAATCACACAGGAAATTTGGAAAGGAGGTAAATAAAAATACAGTTTTCCGTCCAAAGATGTGGCTCATTTGGCAACTGGTTGTAAATCCACATGCAATTGGACGCAGCTATTTTCCAAAGCTTCATTTGCATAAATCCATATAAAATGCACTTTCCAGGGATATGTCAGTCAGGAGCAGCGGCACCTGATGCCTGGGCTTCATTAACTAGAAGGACGAAGTAACTTAAGGCCCTTTGGCAGACTCCAACCAATACAGTAATTACTTTAAAAAGGCATTTCCGTCATCCCTTGGCTCTGTGCGAGTGAAATAAAGCACCCTTTCTTACAAAATCACTGACTTAACATCTGACGTGAAATCCAGCTTTCAGAATATATGGTGCAAGAAAAAAGGCTCCATTACACCACCAGTGTGTTTGATTAATTCAAATACCGTTCACAGCAAAAAAGGTCTCCGTGCCTTTGGGACAGAAACTTGGTGAAAAGTGCATTTTAACTGGCAGGATATCCTAGTTTCACAATTCCATTATCTGCCAAGCTGGCTGCTCTTAAGCTGCATTTCATCCCATGAAGAGTTGCAAACTGCAGAAACCCCCGACCTACTAAAAAGTCCACCGCTTAAAGCCGCTATCACGCACTTCCAGTTGTGCCGTATCAGTGTTTACAGATTTGCTTTAACAGTATTTGGCCAGGGCGGGCGCTCTAATTGCCGTAATGATATCGAGGAGAATAACCGTGTGCAGAGGGGGAGAGAAAGTGAGGTAAAAAAAAGGGGAGGGAGAGGAGCAGCTGCTACTCACAGGGAACCTCTGAGGACCCACAGCAGGTCTGGGTTGGCTTTGAGCAGGAGGCATCAAGGGCACTGCAATGAGAGAAAAGAGAGGGGGTGAGACGGGGAGGGGGGAGATGGAAGAAAAAGGGAGGAGACAGACGTTAGACATCTCCATGCTTACGGCTGTAACAAAGACGTACATTTTATAACCTCACAGCAATGAAATATATTTGCAGTTACAGGGAGAAGTAAACATTTGCAATAAGGGAACAGTATACAGAATTTTCATTAGCATTTCTACACCGTAGCTTTGTGCATATGACAATAAAACCGTTGAATATACATCGAAACCCTCCCCTTTAATTGATGTGCATCTTACCCAACGTTCATGAACTTCATACAATAACAGAAGGGATGTTTTCGTAATAATACCACTACTAGACATATTTATGGCTCTAACCCTTTATGGACACAGTTAGAAATACACTACATGTATACAGTGTTGTACATAGACTGAGTGTGAATATGCACAGCTCTGCTCTTACCACTCTTATTTGTGTCTATGTTTGACTGCAGTGAGAGTAAATCTATTCATCTGTAAGCGAAGAGAAAAGGTAATTTTTTCCCATTATGTATAACCTCACATCTTAATGAGAATGATTTCAATTAACTGATTGACATGTGGTTTTTTATGCTGCTTTAAAATTAGGGTAATTGTATGTCAACATTCAATTGGATCTCTTGAAAGAATATATAAATAAATAAAGACACAAAAACATAATCATAACCACAGGCAATCCCTGATTTTCCAGAACACATCTTCCTCCCAGGAGCCACACACACACACACACACACACACACACACACACACACACACACACACACACACACCACACACACACACACACACACACACACACACACACACACACACACACACACACACACACACACACACCACACACACACACACACACACACACACACACACACACACACACACACACACACACACACACACACACACACACACACACACACACACACACACACCTCAGGGAATGAAATGGTGATGCCGCCAGAAAAAATAAAATAAACCCATTACTGGCTGAGAGAGCTATTCACTTGTCATTCAAGCAAACAACAAAATGACATTCTAATCCAGACACCTTTCAGGATGTCAGAGTGCCAGACGTAGCATGCACCTCAACTCAGAAGCTTCCTAAATAAACCAGGGATGCACGAGTTTGGGTACAAGGAAATGTGGATTTCATCAAAAATGTTAGAGTATGAACCGTGCATTTAGCTAATTATATAACAGAGAAATGGGATTTAACACGATGATGACTGGCAACAAATACATCAATCATCTATGAATGTGTGGATATGGACACTTAGGGTTCAGAGGAAATACTCACATATGGAGAGACTACAAGGATATGATGTGTCTATGAATTACATGCTAGTTAATCTGGGTTATTTCACAGGAGAAAATGTTTAAATTAGCGATAAATATCCTGGCAAAAAAGCTATATCTAGGAAATGGTGTACGTGAAATGGGAAATAGAATTGAACAAGTTGAAGACATTTGGAAAATACATCAATCATCTATGAATGTGTGGAAATGGACACTTAGGGCTCAGAGGAAATATGGAGAGAATATGGAGTTTTGCAAAAGATAGAAGTATATGATGTGTCTATTAATTACATGCTTGTATATCTGGGTTATTTCACAGGAGAAAACGTTTAAATTAGGGATAAATATCCTGGCAAAGTATCATCGAAAATGTATATAACTAATTATATAAGAGAGAAAAATGGGAAATAGAATTTAACACGATGATGACTGGCCAAAAAATACATCAAATCATCGTCAATGCGTGGATATGGACACTTAAGGATATGATGTATGACTTACATGCTAGTTAATCTGAGATAGAGATACCGCAGGTCTTTCCTTCCTGCAGCGGTCAGACTATACAACCAGCACAGCCCCTAGTTGACCCCCCCCCCCCACACACACACACACACAACACAGGCTATATCACCCCTTGCTGCTAAATCCAACAAACTATGTGCAATATATAAATGTGGTTAATAACTGTGTGATATATACCTGGCTGCTAAATCCTAAGAGCTGTTACAGGATGTGTATTTTTTTAAATGATGTAACATTAAGCTGTGTGGCTCTTTGTCCTGCTGTAACTACGCACATTTCCCCTCCGTGGGACTAATAAAGGTATCCTGATTCTGATCTGGGTTATTTCACAGGAGAAAATGTTTAAATTAGGGATAAATATCGTGGTAAAGTATGATCCAAAATGTATTTAACTAATTATATAAGAGAGAAATGGGATTTAACACGATGATGACTGGCAAAAAAATACATCAATCATCCAATTGGTGGATATGGAAGCGTCCACACGGCGGCGTGCGTTGAAGCTTGCCGGTGGGCGTGTCTGAAACTCGACCAACAACCAATCACATGAATCTCCCGCCCCAGACCCACAAGCACGCGGTTTGATTGGCTCGAGCTCGTACTGGCATATGATTTGATTGGCTGACGCTTCCGTCGAAGCTTGAAAAGTTGAACACAACTTTTGAAGCGAGCAACGCGAGACTGCAAGACTTCGATTATATTGATTAGAAAGCCAGATACGTTTCTTCTTGCCCCCTTTGAACATGACGGAAACTATTGAGAACAAAAATGGTGGGTTGACGTTATTGTAAAGCCAGATAATTTTAAATATAAAACAGCTTCATAATAGCAATATTTATTTGTATGTTGGTTTTTATATATTTTAATCGTTTAACCTTTATTAGAATTATGGCTCGAGTCTATTAACCTGTTAAAATGTTATATTTCGCCGCATGTACTTTCATAAATAATCTGAGGGGAATTTCTTGTTGTGTATTTTTAACTTGTGATGTGTCATTTTGTTTAGTGTATTTGTTTATAGAGTCGTGGAGAGTCCCCACAGAGAGGCGAAGTCCCTCCCTTTCCTCCATGGGACCTTATTTCAGAAAAAGTCTGTATTGAAGTCAATGGAGAGAGAAAGATTATCTCTCGATCCCGTTTGAATTGTGCCACGAATTACACACATGATGTTTGTCAATTTAAAAGATCATTTTGCAAGTCAAGAAAATTAAAATGTGTCGTCAAACTGTGAAGCTGAACATGTGTGTTTGAAACCGCTCAATGAACTACATCTCCCGCCTCGCTCCACACACCGAGACGGCCGTCACGTTGAAACATTTCACTTCTTTCTTTCAGAACGAGGCGGAAAGTATTAAAAGAGGTGGAAATCACTCCAAGTCTGGGCGCGTTGAGAGCTGTGCATACACACAAGGGGAGTTAGTCGGTTCCGTGAGAGCCAGCATGCGGGACCGGGACTCTGGGATTTGTAGTCTTTCTAGTTGCGTATTTTTCATAGTCTTATATTTCAACAGTTTTACGACAAACTGACTTTTTTGACATGGAAATTATCTTTTAAATTGACAAACATCATGTGTGTAAATTCATGGCACAATTCAAACGAGATAGAAAGATAACTCTCCATTGACTTCAATACAATTTTTCCGAAATAAGGTCCCATGGGTCGGAAGTAGACGTAGACTTCGCCTCTCTATTGATCAACCGGCACAAAAACAGTAAATGCAGCATTAGCTTTAGTCAACATTGCTCATTTCCAGCTGTGGTCCCCGGCCAGATGAAAATAGACACCTTTTTAAAATCACAACACATCAACAGCATTAGTTATAAATAGGGATGAGAGACAAGTAGATACAGGCGACAGGACAACACACGTTACAACATACAGCTGCATCTGTTGTATGAAAAGTGCAATATAAATAAAGCTTTATTATTATTAATATGGAGCACACTATAGTGGGTTGACGTACCTTGCACGGGGGATGACGTTGGCCCTCTGAAATGGGGGTTAATGTGGATGTTTTTGGACTGTGGGGGGGGTTGTTGTTGGTGGTGCTGCTGCTGCTGCTGGGGGAAGTTTGGTGGCGGAGAACTCATCATCCGTGGTGGTGGCTCCATCTGGGGCCTCATGGGGGGGGAGCGGTGAGCCATGTGTTGGGGGATGAGGGGCTGCAATGGCTGCTGGGTAATCGCACGCCCGTGGTCCTGGAAGGGGGGAGGACCTCTCGGACGTGAAGGGTGATGCTGAGAGTGCATTTGCTGCTGATGAGGCTGATGAGGAAGAGGCATTCGGGAGGATTGCTGCTAATTGGAAGGAGAAATGGGGCCAGGAGAGGAAGGGGAATCAAAACAAGCTAGAACACATCTATGATACATCAAGTGCTTGCAGACACGCCGACAAATCAATTCACAAGCTAGATGGATGATGTCATCCGAAATGGATTTAATAAAAAGTTCCCCCTGAAGAGTTATGCTCTTTAAGGACGCCTTTAAGAAGTCTTTCAACATCTAAATATACCAACCGGAGACGCATCAACAACAGATAAATGATAATAATAATAATAATAAATAATATTTTTATAGCGCCTTTCAGGAAACCCAAGGTCGCTTTACAAGTCGGGTAGGGGGGGGGGGAGTAGGGGAAAAAAGGCAGACAGGTTAAGGGGGGGGGGGGGGGGGAAGTAGCGGAAAAATAAACCTAACTATACAGTGGCGAAAGCCTTGGTAAAAAGGTGCGTTTTGAGGGCTTTTTTGAAAATGTCCAGGGTTGGGGCGCCGCGGATTTCGGGGGGGGAGAGAGTTCCAGAGGGTGGGGGATGCCACACTGAAGGCTCTGTCACCAAAAGTCCGCAACCTGGTGCGGGGGGGTGGAGAGGAGATCCTGTCCAGATGATCTTAGCTTCCGGGATGGAGTGTGGTAGCGGAGAAGGTCAGACAGGTATTGGGGGGCGAGGGCATGGAGGGATTTGTAAGTCAGAAGAAGGAGTTTATAGGTGATACGGTGCTTGACTGGGAGCCAGTGGAGGTGGATCAGGGTGGGGGTGATGTGCTGCCAGTGAACAATAACAACCAAGCAAAGTTTGAAATGAGTGCTTGGTAATTGGCAAGTCTATCTGTTTAAGGAACAAACAAGCCAGTGACCAAATAAGTCACATGGTTAAATATACAGTACGTTTTAAAAAGTACACGCTCATTAACAGCACGATGTTCATGGCGTGTCGTCCATCTGTCATTAATTATGTATGTCCAGTGTTTATGTTTTTAATTGTACAGCCTTTAATAAATGAATTAAATAATAATGATAATAGCAGCAGGAGTGAAAAGTCAAACAACTTGAGGACAATCGCTTGAACACGTATTTATTATTCAAGCACAGTTTTGTTTATGGGAACGGTTGCTATGGTGAAAAAGCATGTGGGAAACTCCTTTGCAGCACAACAACTACACAGACAGGATATGGAGAGCCCTAAAAGCGTAATGGGCCCCTTTAATGATTGAATATCACTAGAGATGTCCCGATCCGATCACGTGATTTTCAAAAGATCGGAATCGGGAGAGAAAAATCGGGGATCGGGATTTTTTTTTTTATACAATATTTTTTATTATTTTTATTTGAAGGTGGAGTACGTTTCAGAAACCGGCTCGAGTACACTAACATTTGAAAGTACACAGCCGAAAAGAATCCGCCCCTTCCTTCAGAGCACCTCCTCCAACACACATGAATGCGCAATACACGCCCAATGAGGGCACGCCCAATGAGGGCACGAGATACATTTGTGCGTGCACGAGATGGAAGGCTGACAGACAGGGCGGCAATTGTACTTTTTACAGTATTATATAGTATGGATTTGTTGTCAAAGCACTTCAGATATTCATTGCTATCGGGATGTTAAGAGCATTCCATGGAATATAACAAAAAGTGTATCTCAAGCCGGTTTCTGAAACTTACCTACCCCACCTTTAATGTTACAAAACCAAATGCCCATGTTCACGTCTTAAAGTCATCCTGAGGCCTTAGTTTTAAATTACACAACATGTATGTGTTGCTTCTTTTGGGCTTGTTTAAGTTTTCAAGTCCCGCATCACCGACAAACTCCTCCTCCTCACCTACAAATCCCTCCATGCCCTCTCCCCGCAGTACCTCACAGATCTCCTCCACCCCCCGTCCCGCACCCTTCGATCCTTAGACTCCGGCCTGCTCTCCATTCCCCATTCACGCCCCCGCACCGTGCCTTCAGTGTCGCTGCCCCCACCCTCTGCAGAAATCCGCAACGCCCCTTCTCTCAACATTTTCAAATCAACCCTTAAAACTCATCTGTTCAACATCGCCTTCCAACAATAACTCTTTTTTTTTCCTTAATGCATTGCATAAAGATCGGGAAAAATCGGTATCGGCAGATTGTCAAAATCCCTAAATATCACAATTAAGGAAAGGTATTATGGTTCCAACGAGAGCTGGACTTGAATAACCTTCCCCTGCTAATCAGTCCTCACTCTTTTATTCAGGGTAGCCATGATATTTTCCCTAGACCTTCAAACCGGTCTTGTATGAACTGATGAGCCATGTAAATCAAAGGATTAAATGCTTGGATTGATATCTAATATTAAAAGCCCACAAGAAACTAAATCCTGGGCAAATGTAATTTCGCATAATGCCGTCTAAATGGATGACTGCCAAATGATTCGCTATAATCCATATATCAACATAGATAGCAGACTTTGTCGCGCGTAAACCAACAAAAGACTTGAAGGTCTTGGATAGTGAAGAGAGATCAAAACACACGTGAAGTACAAAGCCTCGCCGTAACTGACGATACAAGGAGGTAAAAAGTCAAGCAGTTTCAAATCATGTTATCCAGTGAAGCTTTCTTGAGCTGCTCTTCAGGAGGAGTGGCTCAGTATGATGTCATATTCAAAAAGATAATCCCTTTCAAGAAGCTCTGCTTTCTGGGGTTTCCCCTGGAGTAGGTTTTAATGCATGTTAATGGTCTGCAAGGGCACAAATCCCAAAGTTCCTGAACAAGAGGGTGCTGATGATCAGGTGATATACACCTGATCACCAGCAGGAGAGGACTCTTTAAAGTAGAGACACTACATACTGATATACACCTGAACATCAGCAGGAGAGGACTCTTTAAAGTAGAGGCACTACATACTGATATACACCTGATCACCAGCAGGAGAGGACTCTTTAAAGTAGAGACACTACATACTGATACAACCTGAACATCAGCAGGAAGAGACCTCTTTAAAGTAGGAGGCACTACATACTGATATACACCTGAACATCAGCAAGAGAGGACTCTTTAAAGTAGAGACACTACATACTGTATAGACACCTAACATCCAGCAGGAGAGGACTCTTTAAAGTAGAGACACTACATACTTATATACAGCCTGAACATCAGCAGGGAGAGGACTCTTTAAAGTAGAGAGCACTACATACTGATATATACCTGAAGCATCAGCAGGAGAGGAATCTTTAAAGTAGAGACACTACATACTGATATACACCTGAACACCAGCAGGAGAGAGGACTCTTAAAGTAGAGACACTACATACTGATATACACCTGAACATCAGCAGGAGAGGACTCTTTAAAGTAGAGACACTACATACTGATATACACCTGAACACCAGCAGGAGAGGACTCTTAAAGTAGAGACACTACATACTGAGATACAACCTGAACATCAGCAGGAGAGGACTCTTTAAAGTAGAGACACTACATACTGATATACACCTGAACATCAGCAGGAGAGGACTCTTAAAGTAGAGACACTACATACTGATATACACCTGAACAGCACAGAGAGGACTCTTTAAAGTAGAGACTACTACATACTGATATACACCTGAACATCAGCAGGAGAGGACTCTTTAAAGTAGAGACACTACATACTGATATACACTTGACATCAGCAGGAGAGGACTCTTTAAGTAGAGACACTACATACTGATATACACCTGAACATCAGCAGGAGAGGACTCTTTAAAGTAGAGACACTACATAACTGACATAACACCTGACATCAGCAGGAGAGGACTCTTTAAAGTAGAGACACCTACATACTGATATACACCTGAACACCAGCAGGAGAGGGACTCTTTAAAGTAGAGACACTACATACTGATATACACCTGAACATCAGCAGGAGAGGACTCTTTAAAGTAGAGACAGCTACATACTGATATACACCTGAACATCAGCAGAGAGGACTCTTTAAAGTAGAGACACTACCTACTGATATACACCTGAACATCAGCAGGAGAGGACTCTTAAGTAGAGACTCTACATACTGAATATACACTTGAACATCAGCAGGAGAGGACTCTTTAAAGTAGAGACACTACATACTGATATAACACTTGAACATCAGCAGGAGAGGACTCTTTAAAGTAGAGACACTACTACTGGATATACACCTGAACATCAGCAGGAGAGGGAACTCTTTAAAGTAGAGACACTACATACTGATATACACCTGAACATCAGCAGGAGGACTCTTTAAAGTAGAGACACTACATACTGATATACACCTGAACATCAGCAGGAGAGGACTCTTTAAAGTAGAGACCTACATACTGATATACACCTGAACATCAGCAGAGAGGACTCTTTAAAGTAGAGACACTACATACTGGATATACACCTGAACATCAGCAGGAGAGACTCTTTAAAGTATAGACACTACATACTGATATACACCTGAACATCAGCATGAGAGGACTCTTTAAAGTAGAGAGACTACATACTGATATACACCTGAACATCAGCAGAAGACTCTTTAAAGTAGAGACCTACATACTGATATACACCTGAACATCAGCAGGAGAGGACTCTTTAAGTACAGACACTACATACTGATATACACCTGAACATCAGCAGGAGAGGACTCTTAAAGTAGAGACACTACATACTGATATACACCTGAACATCAGCAGGAGAGGACTCTTTAAAGTAGAGAGACTACATACTGATATACACCTGAACATCAGCAGGAGAGGACTCTTTAAAAGTGAGAGACTACATACTGATATACACCTGAACATCAGCAGGAGAGGACTCTTTAAAGTAGAGACACTACATACTGATATACACCTGAACATCAGCAGGAGAGGACTCTTTAAATGGTGGATGATTGTTTACCTGCATGCTCATAGGAACTCCCATCAGAGAGTGCCTCTGGTCCATCATTCTCCCTCTGTTTCCCTCCTCTGAAATCTCCCATTCCAAAAGATGGGAAGCCTCCTCCTCTTCCTCCTCTTCCTCCTCTTCCTCCTTGCATTCCTCCTCTCATGCCTCGGCCTCCATAAGCGGTTCTGTTTCTTTTGTCTTTCCTGTTCTTCAAACTCCATCAGATCCTGCTTGGCTTTCTCAGACAGTTCTAATGAAGGGAAGATGGAAGACTTGAAACACAGGTCCGTAGTAATAGCACTCAAATAAATACATAAAGGAATAATGCGTACCTAGTGTTTCGGGAATATTCCTCCGGTTACTTCCTGCATCAGCCAGCCGCACAACAGCGCCATCCTTCCTTTCGGATTTGAACCGTATGCGACCAGCGTCTTCATCTTCCTCATCCTCTTCATCCGATTCCTCTTTTGTTTCCTCTGCAGGCCCAGCTTCGTTTTCGACCTAAAAAGACATTTTCAGAGTCGAATAATACACTTTTTTTGAATGACTGTTGGCTGTGTTTATCTGCAGTTTTGGTCCCATTTGATCCTTTAGTTAAATCTACCCAAATGTTGATAATCAAAATACATTTCACGTCATCTTTTTAAGCCAAAACGCAAAGTATTATTTGGTTTCAGCTTAAAAAATGAATAAGATTTGCCTCTAAAAGTAAATATTCTCTGGCTTTCTAAGTCTTCTAGAACCAAATATCTCAGTCTTGGATATAGACAAGATATTTAAAGATCTACAGACATCTAGAGTTTAAGAAAATAGTGACAGACCTCATGGTAAAGATGAATCAAGAAACTAGAGAAAAAGCATTTTTTAAAGCAAGAATTCTCTGGTTTCAGCTTCAAAAAAATGAACAAGATTTGCCTGAAAAGTAAATATTTTGTGGCTTTCTATTTCTTCTAGAACCTTATATCTGGGTTTCGGATAGTTAGCCTGAATAAAAAAGATATTTGAAGATCTACAGACATCTAGAGTTTAAGAAAATAGTGACAGACCTCATGGTATTTTATAGATCAAATGAAGAATCAAGAAAATAGAGAAAAAGTCATTTTTTAAGCAAAAAGTATCTGGTTTCAGAAAATGAACAAGATTTGTCTCTAAAGTAAATATTCTCTGGCTTTCTAAGTCTTGTTGAACCAAATATCTCAGTCTTGGATATAGACAAGATATTTGAAGATCTACAGACATCTAGAGTTTAAGAAAATGGGGACAGACTTTTAAGAAATTAATCAAAATCAAATCATAAAATAGATCAGTCAAGAAAAAAGCATTTTCAAAAGTTGAAAAATACACATTTTTTGCCGTTTTGGTCCCATTTGATCCTTTAGTTAAATCTACCCAAATGTTGATAATCAAAATACATTTCACGTCATCTTTTTAAGCCAAAACGCAAAGTATTCTCTGGTTCCAGCTTCAAAAATGAATAAGATTTGCCTCTAAAAGTAAATATTCTCTGGCTTTCTAAGTCTTCTAGAACCAAATATCTTGGCCTTGGATATAGACAAGATATTTAATTATTATTTCTTCTAGAACTTATTCAAAGATCTAGAGACATCTAGAGTTCAAGAAAATAGTGACAGACTTTTAGGAAATTAATCGGATCAAATCATAAAATAGATCAATCAAGAAAAAGGCAGTCCAATCTATAATAAAAATATGTTATACTGTTCAACATTTAACACTAAATATCCATATTCAAACCATATATTTTAAGCTAAACGTTTAAAATGTTTACTCATACATACACTGCTAAAACCACACACACAATAAATAAATATCTGCCGCCTCTTTGCTGCGTTTCAACGGCCGATTCAGAAAGTGTTTTTATTGTGTCAACAAACCTCCTCGCTGTCGAAGAGCTGGGAACCATCAGCTGGTTCTTCCTCATCCTCCTCCTCCTCCTCCTGCTGCGCCTCCCCCTCTACCTCCTCCTCCTCCTCGTGCTGCTGCTCCTCTGGGGCCTCCTGATGGACTCCATGCTCATAGGACGTTTGGTATTCATCATCCTTTATAGATCACATGGATATTGATAACATGGTGACTATGCTACGATAAAGACAATACAGCTTTATTGATAAGGCACTTTAACACCCCCAGACCAAAGTGCTGCACAGTCAGACAAACAACTCACGGCTCAGCGCACACACCAGAACACAAGTACAAGTAAAAAACAATAAGTGACATCAAAGAGGACAATTTCCAAAAAGGCACAAATGAAAAAACGTGGAGAAAATGATATTAGACTTTTGAATATCCGCACGTTAAACAGATTAAAACAAATGTATACGGAGCATACGGCAGACATTAAAATGTGATGGAGGATTTGGGGGAGACACCATGTAACCCCCCCCCCCTCTCCTCTTCCTCTCTCCCAGCCCAAATTACCATAACAGTGGGAGCAAGGCTTCATTACTATTCCTGACAGCATTTGAAATTCAATGAGATGTAAATGTTGACATGATATACAGAAAAGCAGGCACGGATAAAAGCACGTCTTCCCAGTTCACTGATGGTGAAAATATCATTGACTGACTCCGCGCAAATCACTGCGTTAAGTTCACGACTCCATGCCGAAAAAACAAACATTGTGAGGGAGGACAAATCAGTTCTTACTAGCGAGTAAAACATGACGTATTCATTTTATATAATCCAGCAAACAATGTCTTATCCAGGGTTGGGATAAGGTTACTTTAAAAACGTGTATTTCATTACAATTAACAGATTGATAGGAAAACCTGCCTTTCGTGAAACACGAGTTTAAAAAAGCAGAAATAAAATCTAAGCTTGCTCCGTTTTAGTTTAACACAGTTAAGCTCACACACTAGGGCTGCTCGAATATGGCAAAAATCATAATCTCCATTATTTGGGTCAATAATTGATATCACGATTATTTGGGTATTGACCCAAATAATCGTGATATCAATTATTGAATTGATATCACGATTATTAAAAACGATTATCCATTTACTTTGAAAACATCCATTTATTGGAGAGAAAATGTGAACCGTATGTTTTTAACAGTTGATTACCCTGAACTTTAAGGATAACTCAACTGAAAAACCAAAAATAAAAAAAAAATAAAAAAGATTAATAATAATATTTTTATTTAATTATTTCGATTACGTTGTTTTCGTAATCGTTGCAATCCATAATTGCGATTAAAATACGATTAATTGAGCAGCCCTAACACACACTATTTAATGTATAGGATCTTTAATTGATGTATTGTCCCATCGTTATCCCCATTTCAAGTGATTGTAAGTAGGGATGCACGATATTGGTTTTTTGAAACCGATACCTTCCTGCTTCTCAAGACCGATAATAATATAATATATATATTAAATGTACCTGTAGCTTTTGCACACCTGGTGGTAAAACAAAGACTAGTAGTGAGCAAATGACGTGAGCGTTACTACTATGAACAAAACAAAGCCAAGAACAGTTTTGACTCTTCAAAGTGACCATATTTATTTTCCCAAATAAATATAAATTGAGTATTTTTTTGAGTATTGCCTTTTCCAAAAGCCTCGTCGATCGGTAAAAGCCCCGGTGCCTTTGCAGCTGGCTTTGGATTCGCCGCTAGTTTAGCAGCGCAGGCGTCTTCGTACGCTTTTAACACACCGTCGTAGCGATGGCGATGTTTCAGGTGACTAATCAGGTTGGAAGTATTATAGCTCGTTGCCTTTTTCCCTCCTCGTGGAACTTCTGCATTTGTTAATACAAATAGCAAGCGACCTATCTAACTCTGAAGCTTTGAAATAGTCCCATACTACCGACGACATGTTTGTTTACTGTCCTGGCTTCACGGCCGCACACCATTTACGTCACAGCCAGGCACGAGTTAGGGAGCGCTGGATTTGTGAAGAACTCCCCTCTTCCTAAACCACTAATACCACAGTACTGGCAAAACGGGAGGAGCTGAGTGAAAAACAAGCGCCCCTCATCCCAATCCACCCACACCGCAGTATTTCTTTCTTACTTTTTACCCAAAAAATATATTGTATATTATCGGGGCTATTAATACTGTTATCGGGTTTATCGGGATGACGTCATAATTCCTAATATCGGGCCGATAATTATCGTGCACCACTAATTGTAAGGGAATACCGCTTTCTTGTCTGATTACGTTACATGTAATCCATTACAAAAAGCTCCGTAGTGAATTCTAGTCTTTGATAGAGAGTGTTTTAACGGTAACATTTTAAATAACGTCTCAAAAATGTGAAAAAACGTTCTACTCTCCCATAGTGCCAATAAACTGCTGCATGAGAACCATAAAGCAGATTCAGGCGTATATATTCACACTTAAAGTATTAGCCTACAGAAAAGAGATAACATCTGATCCTTAACAACAAACACTATAGGCTCTTTTTAGTCACTCATACTTTCTGCGTAACACCCTCAAAAACTCATTCCTAAATAAGGTCAGACAGAAGGTCAGACAGAAGGTCACACCGTGGTGTTTGGTGTTGCGCTCCATTAACCTGCCAAACAGCAGCACATATTAATGCAGAAAAAACTGGGATGGACAGGCTGCCCTCGGGGGAACACAACGGCTTAATCCTTTAAACTGTTCCACATAGCACTCAATGAAAACCACAGCAAGCATAATGTCAAGGCCAGGCAGTTTAGTGACCTTGTAAACAGATATTATACATAGTACAAACACACGTGCACACATTCCCCCCAAAATATGGTGAATAGGCTTCAGAGTAAGAAGGTCAATCTGTTATCTTTGTTTGGGGAAATGGAGGAAGGCTGATATATCTCCGTCAGGTGCCAAACACCATCGCACCTTAGTAAATGGACCATAACGGACATTTGCACATGGATCTGGTCTTATCTTTGATCCTATTAGTCCTGGCTAAGAGGGAAGGGAAAGGAATGAAAGGGAAACTCGCATCAATCATTGGAAAACTGTACGGGGTGTCCTCAGGAAGGTCAATAATCTTTTCACCTGCATGAGACTTTATCAGATGCAGTCTACAGCACGAGATAAAAGCCCCCCACATTAACCTCCGCCGATTGGCAGCACATCTCCTCGACACAAAGCAGCTCCTTACTGCCCCAAAAGATACAGAACCCAAGGTCACAAAGGCACGGGGATTTAAAAAAGGGAGCCAGCAACCAAACAAGCTGTCAACACAAACTCTGTCAGCAAGACGGAGAAATGAACGGGCAGGAAGTGAGAATGTATCCCTAAAACAACGCCATCAACTAGTTGTTAATTAACATATTAGAGACAAACTACTAGCTTATTTGATATGAACAAGACTTCACTTTCAAAAAGGGAACATATTCTGAGTTAGAAATACTTTTTAATTAACATGAGAATATACAAGATATTGTTTGGTAGTTTATTTGCATTTAGCAGAAAATGTATTGAGTAATATTTTGTATATTTAACTAATTGTTTAAGAGAAATACATTTAGAGAGAATAATATTTGTTTTGCCTTTTCTCGTATGAAATCTGTAAAAATCACGTCAACCTCAGCTCTTTCAGATTTGTTTCCAGTTTCTCCTAATGGACGTTTTTTGGACTTATTCATTCTCAACTAGTTGTTAATTAACATATTAGAGACAAACTACTAGCTTATTTGTTATGAACAAGACTTCACTTTCAAATAGGGAACATATTCTGAGTTAGAAACACCACATTTTTGTTGTTATTTTGACACAATTAACACTTGTAGTTTCATTTCTTGCTACATGAGAATATACCATATTTGTGTGGTGTTATTATGGGAGAATGACTATTCTTGTGGTACTGCTACTATTGAACATATTAAGACCAAAACTCATGTACAACAACTTCCTTACTTACAATAAATGAGTACTAATTAGAGGGTTATTGAGGAAAAACTCGTAGTAGTACTGGGAGAATATGGTCATGTAGAATAAGGCATTAATAAGTGTTTTATAATGACTAACAAAGAGCCAATATATTGCTAATATGCATGCTAATTAACAACTAGTTGATGGTGAATGTGTGTACCGTAATATAAAGTGTTACCGTGGTGATGAATCCCCAAAAAACATCTCCTTCTCCTGAATAGATTTTCAATCCCGACTGTCCGTTTATAGCGAGTGTGACATTATCTCTGACACAATAGGGGGTGTGTGTGTGTGTGTGTGTGTGTGTGTGTGTGTGTGTGTGTGTGTGTGTGTGTGTGTGTGTGTGTGTGTGTGTGTGTTTTTACGAGTAAACAAATGTGAGAACTCACTTGAAACTCCCCATCTATGGGCTCATTGATTTGGATGTCTAGCACTTCATCCTGGTAGCCGTCGTCACCCTCATTTTGCTCTCCAGTGTAATCCATTGGTTCTTCTTCTTCAGGCATCTGTGTGTTGTTGTTGTCTTGGCTGTATTCCTGTGTGTATCCCTCCTCTTCTTGCTGGTAACCCTCCTCCTCCTCCTCACCCAGGTTCACGACGTCATCTGTGTATTCTGCCACCTGCGAGGATGCGCCCAAGCTGACTGTGGCGTTGACACCCTGACCGCTGAAAATAAAACACACGGTGGGAAAACAGTGGTGAGTAAAGACATCGAGCTCAGACACATTTTGAGAGCATATGGTTAGCTTTCCAAAGATATCATGGTGTTTACTCTCCAAATATTCAGCAAAATACTTCAGATAACATCATGACTAGTACCAAGACAGGATTCTGAGGAAAAGACGTTCAAAGGTTGCTGGTTTTAGTTTTTTAAGAGGCTTCATATTTTGGGGTAAAAGTAACCCTTGCCCCCCACCTAAGACCCACGACTGGATTAGCTGTCATTCTGAAATCTTTGTATTCTTATCGATTAAGCTCAATCAATTTAAGCTAGTAGCCTCAAGGACGAGGGCATTTATTTTTCCTCTGACGAGAGAACGTTCAGATGAAAGCTGGCGAGTGTCAGTTTGGGTACGAGTGTGTAAGTGTGTGTATTTACTGAACACACACACACTGCTCATCTGAATATGACAATAAGAGTTTGATATTCTGAAAGCCAAGACTTTGTTTGTTTAGAATCAACCAAAAAAAGGTTCAGGTTATTTATTGGTAGGTTGCAGATAAAAGAGATACTGTACTGCAATCCACTAAAACTCAGCTGACCTCATGGTGACTTCTTCATCATCACTCTGTAGGAGGTCGTCATTCAGCTCTTCATCCGACACTTCTGAGGGATTCTGAAACAGAAAGAAGTAGGGATGTAACGATACACTCAACTCACGATTCGATACACGATTTTAAGTTCACGATTTTTTATTTTTTACAGAATGAGCTGCGGACAAATTACGACTGAAAAGTATTTGTATAAGCTGTACAAAACAACGTACATGTTCTCATTAAAAGTGCAACTGAAACTGTATTTTATCAAAACGACTTATGGATATTTTACTAATCACTTCCATTTTAGGGCGGCGGTGGCGAAGTCGAAGGGACTTGGCTTGGCAACTGGAAGGTCACCGGTTCAATTCCCGGAAAGACCAAGTGCTACCGAGGTGTCTCTGAGCAAGGCACCGTTCCCTACACTGCTCCTAACACTAGGATGGGTCAAATGCAGAGACCTTTTCGTCCGGCAGTGGCTCAGTCAGTAGGGGCTTGGACTGAGAGCCGTAGGGTCGCCGGTTCAAGTCCCTGACCAGACCTAAATATGGAGTGTGGACTGCTACCTCCTGCCCTGCCGTGGTGCCCTTGAGCAAGGCACCGGACTTTGGCGGAAATCGCGCTCCATTTAAGGCGTGGCCTCGCATATGACGCACACCTGTTCCACCATTCTTTGTTTTCCGAGGCTAGGAAGGATTCTTGCCTCGCTTCTGAAGCAAGTGACTCGGAAGACGTGTGCTACCAAGCAAGCGTCCTCGACATTGAGAAGCACCCACTGACACTGTGCTATCACTACTACTAGTCTAGTGTATAATTCTTGCCAAATAAACAATAAAATGTTAGTTACAGTAACCCAGATTCTTGTATGCTTTATGTTGATATTTAATAATATTTAAAATAGGTGCAGCATGTACAAAGTGTTAGAGAATAATTCTTCCTTACTCCTAAGACATTTAACCTTATTGTTGACGTTAATAACAAATCCTGTTTGTGACGCCAGCTTTAAGGAATGTGCTCCAGCACTTAGTGTCAAGTTTTATGGCCTGACCTGCCGGGCACAGGGGGGGGGGTTACAACTGTGAGAAAGCTGGCTTTCTAAGCTCCACAGATGTGAGAGACATCTCCTGTGTCTGCAGATGTTTACGCCCATCCCCAATATGTGGATTTGACTCTCTGTAAACTAGTTAAAAGGTCTATCGAGATGCGAGGATGATCAGAATTGACATGACAACCCACCCGTGCAGTCAGAACCTTTTGCTGCTGTGACTTGTGATGTGAATTCTCCGGCCGTATCCTTGCAATAAACTATCATTGTTTGACATCAAAGCTCCAACTCTCCTCGTGTCTCTCTGAGTCCTGACTCTCCATTGCTGCAGAAGTTTCCCTTACACAACGTATAGCTACAAGAGAAACATTTTTGTTTGTAGCCTTTATTTAACCAGGTGAAAGCCCCTTGAGATCAAAAGATCTCTTTTTCAAGGGTGACCTGCATTTATTCGGACAAGTAAATTGCCAAACTCACTTGTCCATGGACTCTCTAAAAACATTTTCTAACACTGCCTATAAATAAGTCATCTGTTATTGAGTGCTTTTTAAATATTGTCTTCTTTGGGTTGTTTGTAAGGCCTGAGGGCAGGGGACCTCCTCCAACCCCAGAGGATCGATTCCCATGTGGTGAAGGCAATCTGGGCAGGTCCACACTGCTCTGTTTTGTCTACTGTACTTCCTCCTGCTTCACATCAACACTTCCCCCTGTGGAGGAGCCACCTGCCACCAGTCACTTCTCTTCTCTAAATGTTCTACCAACACACAGACAATGTTTTCTGTTTCCTGCATGTAAGCAGAGAAACATACGGACATGCAAGTGTTCTTTTGGCACGAAAACATAAAACAGTGAGATTTTGTATGTTCTTACCTTTTTCCCCGACAGCCAATCCTCTCCAAGCAGATCTTCTTCCAAATCACTTTAAACGGGAAACAAACAACCATTAAGAGGTTAGAGAAGACAGATAACAAGCGGAGTGTTATTTGTATTAACTAATAATGTCTTTCTGTGAGTAGAAATGCTTTTATATCCCAGTAAGGTTTTTTAAAGATCTTTTCTGATTTGATTGACACTACTACTGAAACCAACACTCCTTACTGGTTCACCTCCTTATCGTACTACCATACTACATGTTGATGACTAAATGATTGATATTCGTAATACCTATGTTATATATTAAATAGAACATGTTGGAGCCAGGCATTGTTAATATTATTTAATAGTTAAACATTACATGACATGTCATTGTTAGTCCGCTTTTAATCCAAACACAGACGACATGCTGACTGCAGAGGGGGTTTGAACTTGCCATCACCTGTTCAAAGTCCAGCACACTACCCACTGAGCCACAGCCTCCCTAAACATACATGTTCTTGCTTTTATAGGCAATTATTTGAGTTATGAACTTTGGATATAGCCAGATTCAAAATTCTTGTTTCATTTTGTAGTCATATTAGTATCTAAGGCTTTTACAGAAGGGATTTTGGATATCTCTTTTTCACTCCATAAATCAGAAAATACTGTCAACAGCCCTAAATATCCATTTTCGCCATGTTTTTAGGTATACAATGTTGTATAATTCAGGCTATGAATTATATATGAGCAAACCCTTCTGTAAAAGCCTTCATAATATTGATAGGAATATAACTGGAAGGTTTGGTGAATCTACGTGCTACTTAAGTTGAAATTTCGAACTCAGAGTAGGAGAAAAAACTCATTTTGAGAAAACGACCTTTAAAGATTGCAGTGAGGCGCTAGCTAAACCCTCTGTTCTTTGGATGACAGCTTGCGCATCGACGCACTCCGTGAAGGTATTTCATGTTCGGGGTCATTTTTTTTTATAACCTTTGCTTCGTGCAAGTGACAATTGTTGTCGTCTTCTCTGTGAACGTTTTTTTGGCATTTTGAGATTTCAATTTCTAGCGGAAAGCTAACCAGGAAGTGTTTTAGCACACCACGTGACGCATCTGAACGAATCACGTTGTCAGAAATTGACACCAACCAATGAGATTTCGTTTCTTGGTTTCAGACCCCTTTGTGCTTTCACGATTGTTGCTGATCAAAGGAAATGACCATATTTGGATCCGATGAGATTGTGCAGGAGAGACGGAGCTTTCCAGCGATACCTCTGTTGACATGGTGCACACAGCGGTCGCGGTACTTTATGTTACGTTAGAAATGCTAACTTTTGGTTGAATTTAGGAGAATCTACAGACGCAAATAGACAAACTATAGTAAAATGAACACTTAAATGTGTATTTTGTACGTTTTCCTTCAAAAGCCTGAAAGAAAACATGTTATGGAATCAAAATAGCACAAAATCTCAAAATTGACCAGTACTTGAAAAACGATGTTTTGCCTGCCGTGTCTCGCCTTAAATAAAGTAGTTTGTTAATGCTTTTATTTGAACGCAGCTTTGGGCCTTCGGTGATTTGGGCAGGAGGTGATTAGGTTATATTGGAGACAGGTGGAGGTGGGATTAAGGCGCCAGGAAGGGCATATTTTACCTGCTAAAACCACGAGAAAAGACAGGGAAAGATATAGGAAAATCGTCATTAAGGTTATTGTAGTGTTTTGTATATGAAGAGAACTATGCTGCCTGCAAGCATATGAATCTTTAATTTGACTTCCTGTGCAGCTTGTGTATAAAATACTGCTGTCTTTTTGTAAAACATGACATTATTTACCTCCCAGATCGTCCTCTTCCCCTCTCCTCCTGCGTGATCGCTCCGCACCAGTTTGTCATATTCACCGAAGCCATATTCTGCAAAAGGAAGAAAGACAGTTTTGCTTACAGAGCAATGGACTCTGCGAATAGTATTCATCATCCTCGTAGATTGATATCAGTCTGTCCTGTTGGCAAGCATTCATTGAAAGGTATTTTATGCCAAGCTGAATCAACAACTTGTGTATAACTTAAAAGATTTATTTCACAGCACCTGGGAGTATGCACACCTTCAAACCAGAATGAAATGGCGCCCCGTGACTATTGATTTATTTGATAGATGTTCTTAATCTTTCCACTACATAACGTTTGGCACACCGGCTCTACCAAAGGGAGCAAATATCAGACATAGGACACAACACCTAATTCCCTCAAAGACATATCTGCTAGGAAACAATGAGAGGAATAACATGACTCCCGACATTCCTGAAAAATATATATTGATAGAACAAAAGGTTGTAAGCATTAATCAAATGAAAAAGTTCATGGGGCTTCTTGGATCTGAGCATAGGTCTATTCTTTCAGGTTGTACACAATAATTGTTGTGCACAGTATACACACACCTATAGAGGACATGGCGCTTAAAGTTTAGGGATGAGAACTGCTGAGATCTAAGGCTATGACTAGGGCTGGGCGATTTTTTCGGTTTTCACGATTAATTGCATTTTTACTTTCCTACGGTTTGTGAAATGGCTAAACCGAAAAACCGCGATTTTTTTTTTGGATCTGTAATCAAAAAGCTCCTCAAAAACACTATCGAAGCAGTTCCTGCCGTTGCTACGTTAGTTCAAACGGTAACAACGCACTATTTTTCTTAGCGGATGCATGTCAATTTAAATCAATACAAAACTATTTTTTACATCAATAAAATCATTTTCTAAATCCATAAAAGCATTTCAATTAATATTGGGAGTCATGTCGTTACTTTGCTGAGAATTTGGCCATGTGATGAGCGGGATAATGTGCACATTGCACATTGCATAATGTGCCTTCATGCCGATCCCTCCGCAAAAAAAACGGCTCGTTCGCGGGCGAGAGCCGGCTCCCGTCGTTCACTTAAATAGTTTGCGACCGACACATCACTACGACAGACGTAGCATAAAAATGTCCACGAACACAGATGAAGAAGAACTCATTCCTAAAAAAGGTACCACTTCAGTAAGTTCAGTTGTATGGAAGTGGTTCGGGTACAAGCAGTCAGACATAGAACAAACAACTGTTCTGTGTAAGGTCTGTAGAAAGACGATCGCTGCAAAACATGGGAACACAACCAACTTATTCCAGCACCTGCGACAGAGACATGCAGTGGAATGGCAGCAGTGTGTAGCACTAAGAGATGCAGATGCTAGCTCAAGCCACAAAGCGCCTGCAAAAAAGCAGTTAACCTTGGCAGCAGCATTTTCAACAGTCATTCCTTATGACAAGAAAGGGCCCCGGTGGGAGGCGATCACAGATGCGGTGACATATTACATCGCAAAAGATATGGTCCCCATCTATACCGTAGAAAAAAACGGGTTCATTAAGATGCTGCAAACGATAGACCCGAAATATCAACTGCCCAGCCGCAAGCATTTCGCCACAGTTGCATTGCCCAATTTATATAACAAAACAAGAGCTACAGTCGCAGAGCAGCTGCAAAACGTAGTTTATTATTCCACCACTACCGACCTATGGTCCAGCCGAACCACACACCCATATTTGAGTCTGACCGTGCATTTTATTGACGGAGAATGGGCCCTGCGAGGCATGTGCCTGCAGACATCGTACTTCCCGGACGACCACACTGGCGAAGTAATAGCCCAAGGGTTACAAGACTCGCTGGCCTCCTGGAAGCTTCGAGAAGACCGTCTTGTTTGCATGACTACGGACAGCGGTTCCAACATGATTAAAGCCTTGAGACTGACTGAGTGGCCCAACCTCCAATGCTTTGGACACAGACTTCACTGTTGTATTAAGAGTGATATTTAATTATTGTTGTGACCAGTCGGAACCTGAGACTTGAGTTGCACGTGCATTCTTTCACACACAGTGACGCCACGAGCTACCCACAATGCAACACGCGCCATATATATATATAAATACGCCATTTTCCTGGAGGTGCAAATATCCTGGAGGCGCTAATATAAACAGCTAGCTAACTATCCAGGCAGAGCGCACTAGGTTTTTTTTCTGAATTAACGACCGAAGAAATCGCTGCATGTCTTCGGATTACATCTCTGGACTTGAGGGGTGTGCTCTAGGTCGTTACCAGCGTAAACTAGAGCTGTGTGGGTTGTCCGATTGCCCTTACAGACTGCCTGCAGATGTATGGAAAAACGACTCTCGAAAGTGGCCTTCGTCGATTTTGGCAGCATCTACGTCTATCTTCTGGAAACACCAGGTGAATACCCCACTTGTCACAATAATATTATCATGCCATTGCATATATGTGGTATTTTAGAGTTGACTAGATATTGATTAAGGCAATAGACTATGATATTCAGTACAGGAAGCTTAGCAATACCTAGACGGTGTACGGCTGCTTGCACCTCGTGTAAAACGGTGGATACCGGAAGTACGGTGTCGCGCACGGCCCAATACCCGTATGTGTGTGTGAAAGAATTGGTGTGATTACGGAGCCAGAAAGCGATGCACGTGCGCCGTGTGTTTGTTTTTACAAAAAACGGCTAAGCAAATTAAGTTGTTTGACTGTGGGGTAAAAAGTTCGGCCAACCCGTCAACATCTCAAACGAATGTTCAAAGTGATTCAACTGATAGAGCGCAAGGTGAACCCGAACGAAAAGCAAAGAGGAAATGTGTAAAGTCTGGGGAGGCAAAATATATATGTACATTCTGCTCATGATTCTGCTCCGTTGTGCATTCACTTCCGGTAAAAGTTCCTTCAAAATAAGAGTCCCGATCTTATTACTACCAAAATAAAAGTGCAAAACGAAACTTTACCATAGGAAAATATTGGCATAAAATTATAATCACTTCGATAAAAAGGCAACACATTTGAAATATAGACATATTAATTTTACAGTTAAAACATTACTATTAATATCTAATTCTTAACTGTGAATGGTTTTAATTATTTTACATTAGACATGTATTAGTCTGGCCAATCCAAGACTTCAATGCTGAAGGGTCAATGGATCTATGGGGGGGTCAGCACAAAGGTCAGGAAAACCCACATTTGAAAGGGAGACACGGATGACCAAAAACTAGTGACTTGCTCAATTCATTTGTGAGGGATCTGTGAAGAACATGACAACAGCTGCACCCAGGGGCGGTTCTAGGGGGGGGGGTGAGTGCCTAACACTGCCTTTGGACCCCCCTAAAAATAAAAAATAAAAATAGTTTATGATTAAACGATTTCTTGGCTGACGGAATAGGCGGAAGTAACGATATTTGTCATTCTAGTCGGACCCATTAGAGCAGGGGTCTCCAACACGTCGATCACGAGCTACCGGTATCTCGCAAGCCCTCAATAGCCCCCACTTTACAAATAGGTTTTCGATTTTTTTTTTGCGCACGCCGTCATCGTCACGCTCTGTGAGCGAGCGAGACAGAGAGAGAGAGCTAGAGAGAGCACACCTTTATCTATTTAATGTGTTGTAAAAAAAAAAGAAATCATTCCAATGTGTACTATAGGACAGTAAAAAAAAAAATTTGAAAGGGGAGTGATTGGTAAAATATGCATAAATAAAAAGAATGAATACTAACTATAGGTAACATAAGATAAGAATAAACAGTTTAAATTATTTGTTATTGGTTGTGATCATATTCTAAAGATGTTTGGATTATTGAAAAGTATACAGCTCTCTTTCATCTGAGTGTTGAGAGTGTATCCATAAATTCATGTTGTGCTCAAAGTGCACCAGATTATGCAATTAACTTCAACATTTAAAAAAAAATCTTCCCCGGGCTGCATGCCCCCGGACCCCCCTAGCGAAGGTTCACCCCCAAATAAGGCAGGTTCAAATAATTAAATTGCATACATTTTCTTTTAGTAAACACTGAAAACGGGTCCCACAGACCCAAACAGCACACAAAGGTAAGCAATAATAATGTGTAATGAAACAATTACCAATAACTGTATTGCATTGTTTTCTTAGGTGTATGCGCAATTACTTCATACTGTCTTTATCTTTTTCGTCATTTATTGTGCCCCCCCAGAAAATAACTGGCCCCAGCCTGGCCCCCCCCAGTCAAATTGGTCTAGAACCGGCACTGGCTGCACCACTGGTATTTTGTACAAGTTTACTACCACTTAAGTTTCAAATAATTGCGTTAATTACTTATTGTAAAGCATTAGAACATTCTTTTGTGTCACATGTTCATTATTAAGTTGATGTATAACTGTATAGTATCTTAATTATTTAAAATATAAGGTGTCTAAAAATGG